TCTCCTACGAGCGGCTTTCTCGTTCCATGCTGGCTCGGACACTAGCATGCAAGAATCCAGCCATGGTTATTGGCGCCATCTCTTGTACCTGTCCGGTATTGAGACGGGTGTTGGGGGGCTGCTGGGATGTTGGGGCTGTTTGGGTGCCTGGGCACGACTCGCAAAGCATGCGTAGGGCGATGTACTGCGTAGGGCGAGGTTTCTGGTGGAGACGGTGCAAGGACATCGGAACGCTTGCGAAAGAAGACAGCGCGGCACCGTTGCTAGTTCGAGTCTGGGCAGGGGGGTTCGGGTTGTCGGGCTCGTGGGCTCAATTCAACAGGGAACCGAAGTGCGAAGGCTCCGATGAATCTCAGATGCCTAAAAAGCTCATCACAAGCTCATCACAAGGTGTCGTGATTTCCTTGGTTGGGTGTCTGGCTCCGTTCGCGGGCTGTTCTTGCCATCCAATTCCCCCACGGTCTCGTTTTCGTTGCGTCCCTTTCCGGGGGGCAGGAGAGACCCGGCCCCCCTAGTCGCGGAACCAAGTGGAATCGGCCGGGATAGGACCAGGCAGGTACACACTGTATATGTCTTGCCTCACCCTACGGGTACACGTCGCTGTTGCTGTCGCTGTCAGTGTCAGTGTGACTGTTAGTGCCACTGCCGCTGCCGGGCGCCCCCTCCACATCATCATCATCACCTGCTTGTACTGCACCTGCTGGTCCGCATCCGCATCCACATTCGCATCCACAACCACATGTGCCTGAACCTTAGCTTCCCATTCCCTCCTTCCGTTCTTTGCTGCTTACGAGCCGTGACCTGGGATTACTTTCCCTCTATTGCCCGCCCGCGCCTGCTCCCACCAGGAAGGAACAAACAGCACTCGACTTGCCGCAATTGCTCTTGTCCCCTGCCCCTCATTTGACCCTCTCTCCATCCTCTACCTTCGCTTCCCCTCCTCATCTTGTTTCCTTTTTGTCACTCCTCCTTCTCCTCCTCCTTCTCTGGGTAATGACCCTCCGACGATCTGCCTCACATATGCTTGACCCTGGGCCCCCTCGTTGACCGTTGACCGTCGACCGTCGACCGTCGTCCTTCGTCTCACACCCCGCCCTGCCGCACCGCCGCCTCGGCGAAACACGAGAGAGAGACCAGACCTTCCAAAAACTTACATCCTACACCCAGCACCCACCCATCCGTCACACAAAACACACAAGCACAGCTCGCAGGACGCGCCGTCTCGCTCACTGGTTGCCCCTCCTCTATATTTGCTTCTTTTTGTGGGTGATCATCAAGCCGCAACGCGCCCACCCCTCCGTCCATTTGATTACTTGATTGCCTCGCCCTGTCCGATTGCCTGCCCGACGCCAACCAACAACACCCTGGGCCAGTTCTAGATTCCCGATAAGACAGCATTCCCGCGGCTTCCATACGTCATGACATCGATAGTGAGTCCGCGCCCCCTCCATCATGGCCTCGAGGGCCCTTTCGCCGTCGGCGTTCCGCATGTGCGTTGTGCGTCTGCTTCTGCACCTACCGTCTCCCTGCCTGCTTGCCTGCCTGCCTTCCTGCCAACCTCCTGTCGCAATGACAATCTGCGCACCTGTCATTCGCCTCGCTAGAAACATCCCGAGTCCCCCGCCAATCTCGAACACACCCGTCCCTTATTGATTGGGCTTCTCTACACCCCCTCCAATGAGGCGCCGCCTCACCGCCTACACCGCTGTTCCCATGTGGCCATCCCGACCAGTGTCTTGAACGGATGGCCACCCAGGGCCCAGTGAACAGGCAGGCATCCAGCCCAGACAGCCCAAGACAGACGGCCAGCCAGACAGGCCAGCGCCTGACGACATGGCCGCCGACCACGTTATCATTTCCCTCCCTGATGGGCGACCGGTCCACACTCAAACGTCTGGGGTCTGCCCGACTCATCCGCAAGGGAACCTCGTCCGGGGATACCACCGTGTACTGCTGGCAACATGTCACTGCGCCCGTGGTACATGCAACCTCCCGGCCCTCTCCTATCCTCTTCCCTGTCAGAACCCAGCACTGGCACCTCCCTTCCCCTTCTCCAAACACCCCCCGTCCCGTCATCCCGTCGGAGCATTAAGAGAAGGAGTGTGCAAAGAAGTCGGGTAGGAGCATCGAGACGAGCGAGGGTTAAAAAAATCCAGACGTTGTTCCAGATGCCCCTGTCGTCTCTTTGGGGCCCTGTTTGCGGGTATCATCCGTCATGGCTCTCTGAGTCGGCTCTTGCCTCTGCTCCTCTCCATATCTTCCCTGATCTCCCGCGCGCCCTCTCGATGCTCTAGACGCATCATTCTCTTTCGCCATGCGAGTCCCATCCTTCGAACACACCTTGGCTCTGCCAGGTACTTCCGAAGCAGACACTATGCGCCCGCACCACCAACACCCCCAACACCAAACGCAACACCGAGACGAGAGGCAGCCACCCACTACTCCGCCAGTGCTAACTTCTGGCCTTCAGCTATGTCTAGCTCATTATTGCGACCTTCACGGGCCCACCCCGTTGATGGTCACCGAAGGCCTGCCAGCCCCTTGCTCAACATGCTTTGACGAGGCCGAACTCCAAGACCGACCACCCACGAGCGCCCCTACCTCCGTGCCGAGCTCTGTTGGACAAGCCACGGCAGCCATCGCAGAAGCGATGCGCAAGATGAACATGCATGGTCACCGGAATTCTTCTCTCTCCATGTCAGAACAAGAAGCCCAAATATCCCGAGCAGCGCTACTACGCAACGCCTCGTCACCTGCCGCCAATACCACCTCTCGCCCGTCCACGTCAGCCATCGAGACCCCGCCTGAAAGCCCGCGTAGAGTGTCCGAGCAGCCGGCACCACGTCGCGAATCGAGCAATTTCCGGAGAACATACGACGATAATGTGACGAAACGCGCTGGCCCATGCGAGAATTGCGCCATGACGCTGCCACAGAGGCAAGGCCTCAAGGAAGAGAAGGACCCCAAATCTGAACGGGGGCCAACGTTGCGCTCGCGTATCCCTTGGGCCAAGGTGTATACGTCGGAAGATACAGGCACATCTCCACCGCCCTCACAAACATCTTCGGCCAGTGACACTGACGGCGAGGGCCAACCTCGGCGGCACACACGCAGGGCGACAGGCTCAACAACCACGCGATCAAGCATGTCCTCGACGAGTCGCAGTCTTCCGAGCCATACCCACTACGTTCACTACACCTCAACCCATGAGCCTCTCATTGCCAATTCCTTCTCAATCGTCCGCGCCTCTTGCCTTCGGGCCCTCTCCTTTGAGACTCTGCCTCGCACTCCGCAAGCGGGAAGCAGCGCCAACAGCTCAGCTGTGACCTCTGTTCCCACGCCGCAGTCTCCCAATCCCACCTCACAGCCTTTCGTGACGACCCACAGTGCCGGCGCGGCCGCATCAGGAGGCCCCATCTTCTTCGGCGACCCTTTGGCTGGCTACACGATCGCATACATATTCCGCATCCCGGATGTCCATGCTCGTGGCCACAAGCGCGTTTATGCATTTCTTGCTCTCAGCACTCACCGAGAGCGTCTTATTATGAAGATTTTTGGCTTCATTGCGGCCGCTTTCCGCGAGATGGCAGCTTGGATTCAGAAGCTTGCCGAGGCCGAGGCTGAGAAGGCATCCGAAGCTAGCCCTGTCATGGGAGGCGGCGGCTTCTACGGCAATGGCGGCGGGTTTTCCTCAAAAGCCTCTCAAGATCGTGGCGATGGCTACGGCGGCCCTGACCGCGCCAGTGGCAGCAGTTTCTTGACCGGAGGAAGCGGCTTTACTCGCCGTATGGGCGGCGGCGGCGGCGCCGTGTCGCTCAAATCGCGTGGTGTGGCAGAGCTTGTCGGCATGCCTGACTTCTTTATCCAATTACACGAGAAATTTGTGCGGCTTCTGCTTGAGCTTGGCGTTAAGTTGAGCGCTTGATCACTCATCAACTGGACCACATGCGTTTGGTCCAGCAAGCTGTACAAAACATGGTCGAAATTCACGCCACAGTACGCGTCTGGCATCTTGGAGCACCACGCGGTTGCTCAAATCAAAACCTTAGGCCAACCGTATCTGTTCGAACGAAGGACCCCACCGAATAGATAATGGGTAATGCTAATACGGCTACGCCTTAATCTCTTTATCTATCGGGTAGTACTCGGGGGTCGGAGCGAGTTGACTGGCGAGCGAAAGAGAGAGATTGATAGCGCGAACGACGAGGAACGAGGAACAAGTGATAGCGGAGGATATACCCCTCGGCTTACCGAAAACACACAAACGATACCCCCTGGAGGCTCGTCGAATCTCTTATTCAATGCTGCGTATGAGCTTGTGGCGGGACTGCATCAGCGACGGCGGCGATTTTCTTGTCCCTTGCCTTGGTTTCATACATCTTGTTTGTCTTTTTTCTTATAGACCCTTTTCTTTAGGGAAGGTGTTTTTGAGCGTTTCGGCTCAGCGTCTACCATAGCATTGACGCCTTTGGGGGGGCCTGCACTACTTATGACGGCTACGGACATAGACGGTTGGAGAGGGAAAACGAAAACACGGATAGATGGATGATAGGGCGCCCCGCGACGGGCAATGGTCGATTTCTTGTCAAGCCTTTTTATTCCTTTGATGTACATCTGGTAGCTGAATGCGGAAGGCGGGATACACTTAGAATTCACGACTGCGTTTCCATCATATGCCAATGTCATGCAAACATGGCGCAGTGAGAAGGTGACCGCTGTGGCCTGAGAAGCACATGATGCCTTGACACGAAACCAGAATGACATCGTGTTTCGTCGGTATAGGTTGTGGGAAAACGGTGTATTGTACAGCCATGGCAAGCATCCTCGACGCCTGCCCGGTCCGCGATCTATCGAGCCCCCACGCCGTCCCACCCGTGTACGCCTCGAGCCCAAGCCTGCGCTTGAGTCTGTCGTATTACATGGCCAGTTGTCTCGGCCGCGCCCATCAACCAAACACAACCGCGTCCTCCGTCCTCCGTAGTCCAGTCGCGATGGCTGGCTTATTTGTAGAAATCAAACTTGTTGTCGTCCGCTGTGCCCTTGACCTGGCTGGAGTAGGCGTCCTCGAGATCGCTTTGGATGATGTTATACCTGTTCTTACGGACGGCGCGCAGGCCGGCCTCCTGCATGATGGCGGCGATGACGGCGCCGCTGAGGGGGTCGTTGCGGACAATGAGGGAGTCGAGATCAACCTCGGGCGCGAGGCTCATCTTGGAGGCAATTGTGGAGAAGATGAGACGGCGCTCGCGACGGTCGCGCAACGAAGGGAACTCAATCTTGCGATCGAGACGACCGGGACGCAACAGGGCGGGGTCGAGCGTGTCGGCGCGGTTCGTGGCCATGATGACCTTGACGTTGGCGGTCTGGTCGAAACCGTCCATCTGGTTGAGGAGCTCGAGAAGAATACGCTGGACTTCGCGGTCGGCACCGGTCTGGGCGTCGAAACGCTTTGTCGCGATGGCGTCGATCTCGTCGATGAAGATGATTGCCGGAGCGTTCTCGCGCGCCATGCGGAAGACGTCGCGGACCATGCGCGGACCTTCACCGAGGTACTTCTGCACAAACTCGGAGCCGACGACACGGATGAAGTTGGCGGTTGTCGAGTTGGCGACGGCCTTGACCAGCATTGTCTTGCCGGTACCGGGAGGCCCGTACAGCAGGACACCACGAGGGGGGTCGATACCAATCTGCTTGTAGAGGTCGAAGTGCGTCAGAGGAAGTTCAACAGCCTCACGAATCTCCTGTTTCTGCATGTCGAGACCACCAACATCGGCGTACGTCACGTCGGGCTTCTCATCTGATCCAAGCATGGCAATGGAGGAGTCGGCCTCGGGGGGCAGGATGTCGACAAGAGCATTGGAGTGACGGTGCAGAGCAACGGAGGAGGAGGGCTTGAGCTTCTCGCGATCGAGGGTCGAGAGTATGCGCACGACGTAGTTGCTGCCTGTGGAGGATTGGACGATGCCGGTACTAGAAAGGTAAGCTTAACGTTTTTGACGTTTGGACTGGGCCTGTTGCCTACTTCTGGTCGATAGCCTCCATAAACTGGCCAATGACCAGCGGTACACTCTGGATGCGCTTGATCTCCTCCTGGGCTCGCACAAGCTCCCTCTTCAAACTCCTGGGTTGCTTCGTTAGTCACAGTCGGTGAGAGCTAGGTTGCCCTTCTCAAGGTAACGACGAACCTCTGCTCATCCTTGATGTACTCTTCTTGCAGCTGGATATACTCCAGTTGCCTCTGGAGCTTCTTTAACGCGGCATAGTCGTCTCCGCCCTCTGCCGTCAAGCCCTCGAAGTTGTCGATGCTTGGAATCGTTGAAGGCGCGGTCCTCTTGTGGGGAGGGATGTGGTTTGCTGGGTTCTCCACAAGGACATCGCCCATCTTGACGGTTGTGTTGTTTGTCGTGAAGAGATGAGCTTGTTTCGATTGATGGGCTACGAGATAAAATTCGTCGGGTCGTGGCGCGGGAACGAGGGGGGGTGAATGATAGATGGCGGCGAGGTTGATGCTTCGACGACCTTCGGTGTTGTCTGGCTTGACTGCTCCTGTAGGCGTCAACGGGAGACGCAGCCGCCTCCCAAGCCTGCAGGCTTAATCAGAGGTAGTGCATGTCTCGCCGGAGCCATCAGTTGAGTCACGTGATTTGCTCACCTCGGTGAGTTTGGTGCTGCGTGATTGACGACAGGCTCCGACCCCAACATGGCAGGTAGCCTCACTTTCCGATTGGCCATTAGTCGTCTAAAGCGGGACAGTATCCACTGTTATCTCAGCTAACCACTCGGTGGGCTGCAGCTCTAACATGCTTCCCCCACTCCGACATCATCCCACCTGTCCACCTGGACTGATACGGCGTGGGCGTGATTCACATCGGTCAGGCATGTCCAGTTAGAGCTTCGTCCAGTGCTACCTGCCGGTCCGGCGTCCACCTGCCGCCTGAGAGCCTTCCTGCCTTCCTGCCTTCCCATGCTGCCTTCCAACCCAACCTGTCCGTGACCGCACTGTACGACTACCACACTTTCGTCTTGTCGCCCCGACTGTTCCCACTTCGTGATTCCTCTTCTCTTGCAACCTTCAAAGTGTCCTGCGACTAAGAAGCACTCCTCCCGTTGTTACCCCTCGTCGTTGTCCCTCACCTCCTATCGTCTCCTGCGACTGTCTGTCTGGGGAGTCTTGGCGTCAACGTTCCGGTTGCTTATCTTCCCTCCATAAACTACCCTGCCGGCCTTTGCTGCCACCTCACCATGTCGGCCTCGATTGCCATTCCCATGACGCCCACGTCGGGTGCTGCCTATCGGGGCAGCCAGGCCTCCAAGGCCGCAGCCAGCTCATCCTCCTCGTACTCCAGCTCGCCTAAGACGAACCCCTCACCGACAGTCCAGAAGCAGAATATATTCCACGGCCGTCGCCCCAGCCTTCTCAGTACGCTCCCACTCGGCCCATCCCAGGCGTTCGAGCCTTTGACAGCTTTGACGCTTCGGGTGCCAGATCGCTAACACGGCTCTAGGCACCGCCATCTCCAAGCAAGAGTGCACTGTTATCAACATCGGCGACCCTGATGGCCCTCCCCGCCTGGTAAGTCATGCAGTGATGCACAAGTCGACTGGAACTTTCCCCTGCTGACACTCCTCATAGCTCTCTTACCTGTCTTCAAGTCAAGGATATCTTTGGAACCCAGGTATGAAGGACCCTTGGTGAATGCGCGACAGCTTACTGACAACCCACCACAGAGATCTTCCTCCCACCCTATTTCGACTGCGATTACGAGCCGATTGAGAATCGACGAGACCCTGTCCACGATATTGTACTCACAGATGAGGAGTCCAAGAGCATGCTCCCGCAATGATCCTTGGCCAACAACCATGATTCATGCCCGCGGCGTATCTACTTTTGGCCATCGACAATGTCCTTGCTTTGGGTGTTCGGGCTGAGGATTCAAACATGGAGTTACTAGTAAGGATGGGAGGGCACTAGGGGCGTTGGTCTTCGGTTTTATTGTTTTATTCTATGCAATGCACCTGGTCCTCTGGAAAGGGCGTTTTTGGTGTTTTCTACTTCTATTACATACGATCGGTTCGGGCTGCAGTACCGTAGGTAGTCAAACACACTACTCATCGTCACCACCCAAAGGGTCGTGAAGTGGTTCCGAGACAAGATGATCGCCTGTGGATCCATGCGCCAGCTGACAACCTGCTCAAGCCCCCTGACGGGGAGGACTCTGGATGCAACGTTGGAAGGCCACCAACAGACAACTCACGGATTCAGCGGCCCAACGAAAATGATTACTTGCAGCCAACATGCGACGCCAGCTTGCATGGAGAAACAACTCACAGAGATGCGATGAAACATAGTTGGACCCTGATCGTGGTAGCCACCGAGCCATCCTCTGACGCCCAACAGTGACTGGACTTGGACCAGGCGGCCCCAGCGGCGCCCACGCCCAACAAAGCCAGTGGATGAGGCCACTTACGGGGCAGCTTAGCTGTCAGCTCGGCTCCACTCTCTCCGCATCAGGGTGTCCTCTCAGGGTTCCACCTGCGCCCCCTGGAACCCGCGGCATCTGTCATGTCATCCCACTCACGTTGACACCCTTTGACCTTGAGGAACAGCACCATGCGGTCCTCCAACACAACGCTAAATATATGCCAAAACAGATGCACTACATGAATGCGTGATTGCTTGTAGATCCCCGTTGAAACATACACTCCTATGACTTGTTGCCAAAGATGGAGTCGGGCCGTTCTGTTGGGAGGATCACTGTGGATGATACGTTTCCTTGTCTTTAGCGTTCGAGGCCCAGGGCCACGGTGGGCCGTGGAGGTTCTTTTGCTGGTTGTTGCAGGCTCGTATAGACTCCTTGGTGTCTGTGCCGGACCTCTCGTACTGCCGGATGATCATGAGGTAGTGCAGGTTATGACAAGCAGGCTATGACAACTGAATAGCGAGAGGTCGGGGACGCGGCCTTGACCATTGAACAATCCTGGCAACAGATCTTGGTTGCGATCGCCTGGAAGATTACAGGCCTGTTGGAGGCCCAGGACGGCGACCCGGCTAACGGGGGAAGCCCCCTGAGCTCTTGACATGTGCTCGGCTGATGAGGAGAAGAGTGGTCATGCAAGGCGCTCACTCAGATTGTCCGAAAAGCAAACCACTGCTCTCGATCTTCGTCTGGGTGGTATTTCAGCCCTCGCCGAGAAAGAGAGAGAGGTAGCGCTTTTGACCAACCCATTCTCAGATTGTGCAAGGTCTGTTCGAGGCTCTCGAACACTTCCAACCACAACTATGGATAGCCTTAGGACTCACCGCCAAGTATGCTTTCCCATCAAGCATTCGGCCACTACGATACTTGAAATTGAAATGGCAGACCACTGTTATTCCGGTACTGTCGGCCACAAAGTGGGGCGTTCAAGTGACCATTGCAGAGCCACTACTTAGCGCAGAGGTTCAGAGGTCTTTCACAGGCGCATGCGATTCTGGACGTCCAGCCCCCCAGAGTTGCTTTCTTAGGCACCTAGGCCAGGGTCTCACCGTACAGTGTCTGATTCGACCGCGGGTCCGGCCGTATGCAGGTCCGCCCCCGCACATCTATAGTGCAAGGCGTCCTTAGTGGATGGGGCGTGCTCATCGGTTTGAGCGGGCATACGCCCGGCTGACCTGTGAACGACAATCCTGTTCCATGAGGCTGTCAAGGGAGGAAAATGAAGCTTCCACTCTACAGTGCGATGGGCACCCGATGCGTCTTTTCGAGATCGAATATCGTTGTGGTTGAGTTAGTTGCGTCATGGCAGCTGTCTATTGTCTGACGTCTTCTGAAGGTGCAATGCGGACTGACACTGACGTAGAGTGAGTTCCACTTGGGGAAATCCGATGTCGGTACTTTTGCTTTCGGTTAGCGCGCATTCTTGATAACTACAGACAGATAAGATAAGATGAGGGACCTGAAATGGTGGGTCTGGGGAAGTCGCGATCCGCTCTACTTGCGCGCGCTGGTAAACACAAAACAACAAGCCGAAGAAGGTAGCCCGGCATCGCATTGTCACGATACCGAGGCCATACACACATACCCCCATGGACTCAGAATCCACAGAGCAGAGGCGGATAGAGCTTCAAGGCCCGGAAGACCTCGCCTACCTCCTTTCCAACGTGAGGCGCGCAGCGCAAGATCACCTCAACGATGCGTTCCCACCCATGGAAGGCAACGCCGGTGATGAGGACGAGCTGAGGATACAGATAGAGAAGCATGTCAATGAGGTGAGTTCCCAAAATATACTTTCGATACCTGCGTTCTGTTCTGACTTCTGTAGTATATCACAAAGACCTTCACTCACGCCGCGCCGAATCTCTCCCTGAACGGGCTCCCCGCTGAGCCAAGAGTCTTTCTCGCTCCCGACGCCGACGCACAAGAACAACTAGAGCCGCAAGTCGAATACGAACCATGGGATGCGCGTCTGCGCCAAAAAGTCGAGGATCTGGCACGCCAGGAAGAGGAACTGCTGAATGAAATTGCGGCGCTGAAGAAAACCGTACCGTCAGATGTGGCGGGAGAGCAGACAAGACGATTAAAAGAGGCGCGAACGCGGGATGAAGAAGAATTGGCGGAGCGGAAACGTCAGGCCGATCTGGAAAGCGCAGGGCTCGATGTTGGAGTGCTCGAGAGACAGGATGGAGTTGAAAGCGCGCATCGAAGCGCCATTGAAGGGCTGGGAAAGGTGAAAAGAGAGATGCCGAGTACCGTGGCAAGAATGGAGAGGGCTAGAGTGGCAGGCGAGTATGTTGTTACGGGGAGATGACCATGGCAACCTGCCTCCGAGCCTGTTCGGGCTGCATAGTTCGGGTTGGCTTCGGCTGTTGAGTTGAGCTGTTTTAAAGACACGATTAATGAATTTATGGATGCAGATCGGATGAAGTATTATATACATGATACAATAACCATCATCCCGTCCTCGAAATCGGAAAACTGTACTAGATGTTGTTGATACTGTGTATTGGTCAATCTAGTAAGCTCGCCATATTGGTCTTCAGTACAGGTCCGTTGACTACAATACCCCCCTCGAGTACTTTGACCAACCGCCTCGGCGGTCAGTACATAGTAGTTCAGCGAGGTGCAGCTTACGTGTTTACTTCAGACATCAGTTTGAGGCTTAGAGCATACAAAAGATATGGGATCTTCATCTTAAGTTGAGACGAAGTAATGGGCTTTTAATGCCTGGGAACTCGATTGATGTGTCTACTCTGTAGCTACTATATTTCGAACGAGTGTCCATCAAGCGTATAACATCAGAAGCCATACAGGGCGAAAGGGGATGAGCTCCCCGATCTTCTATCCTTTGTCAGTGTTGAACTCAAAAGTCATTCCACCTTAACTGCTTTTTCCATCTCTTACTTCATTGTTTCGAAGCACCACAATCATACCGCTATCACCACAGCCACCCCCTTCAACACCGACGCTACCAAACGACACAAGTGACTGAACGATCTTAAGCCGTGGCCTTAGCAGGAGCGCCCGCGTCAGCGGTACCGGCAGGGGTTGCGCCGGCGGCACCGGTGGGAGCAATGACTGTCTCGCCGCCCTCGTTGACAAGGACATGGGGATCCTTCGAGGTGCCCTTGAGAGCCGCGAGAGCCTGCTGCTTAGCCTCTGGCTTGTCCCACCAAGCCCGGTTCTTCCACTGGGGTTCCTGCCAGGGACCGGCGTTGCTGTTGTGGCAGCCGTTCTCACACTTGCACTTGCCACCAAATTCGACTGGAAGATTCTCGGCAGGAATTTGCTTGAGGAGCTCCTTAGAGTAGCTCGATCCGAGAATGTCAATCTTCTTGACAGTGACAGGGTCGAGCCAGCCCTTGACCATGCCCCAGACGGCAGAGAAACCCCAGGGGGCGTTGATCATGTAGAGCTTTCCAAGACGCTCAGGGTAGTAGTTCTGCGAAATGACTGAAGCCTGCTTGACGTAGCCATAGACTTGAGACGCGTTACCAAGGCTGATGCCCTTGAGGTCCATGATGGTGCAGCACGTCTCGACAAGCGAGCCCTTGACAACGGATGCGGCTGGGAATCGGGGGTCGGCACACTTCTCATACTCGACAGCGAGGTTGTCCAACATGCGCTCATCGGTGGTGATCTTGCGCATTTCGGTCAGGTTGATGCTACCAAGCTGCTCGATGTACACAGGTCGGCCGTCCTGGTGAAGCACGTACTGTCAGCATGGGCTTCACAGAAGAGGACGATCAAAGAAAAGCTTACAATGTCGGTCTTGTGGTAGTACTGAGGATAGTACTTGAGCATCTGCTCCTTCTCCTTGTAATCCCAAGTCGGCACAAGAGCATCCAGATGAACCTCCTTGCGCCACTTATCGAACTCGACGAACCTAGCTTATCATTAGGCCCTGAAAGTAAACGACGAAGAACTACTGACATGGCTTTCGCAGCGTTGACGTCAAACTTGCGAGCTCTCAGGAAGCGCAGCTAAATTCCGCTGTTAATATCATCGCTCAGTATATCTTATGCGTATTTTTTAGGCATATTTACCAGCGTCAAGGTATCCAAGCGTTGCGTGATGCCCTCCGCCTCGAGCATCATGCGCAGCTGGTGAATCTGTGCCTTCTGTGCCTCGGTGCAGTGTCCCGGGTGTCCATCTTGAGCTACGGCAGCTTTCGTGGGGTAATCAAACTTGTCGTAGTTCTTATCGAGCTCGGGAGCAGCGAGCTCTGGGGCAACAGGTGTCAGGGCTGCCATCTTGACAAAAGCTGGGAACTTTCGCTTGTAATAATAGGGCTAAAAGCGTACGTATAGCTTCCGAGAAATCGTGATAATCTTGGAGCTGCTGTAGAGGAGTAAAACAGAGCAACGCCCGGTAGACGGCGGTCACGGTCGAATTAAGGAGGATGCCCCGCCCCGCCACTCCTCCACCCGACCAGTGACGATGATGGGCGAAAATCCCCGCCACATTTCTTACGTAACCTATCACAGCCTCCTATTCAGTTGGAATAGCGGATCAGTTGAGAGGGTGAGTGGAAATGTCGCGACGGATATTACATGCACGTCGTACTCATAAGACAACCCAACGGTGAAGTCCAGCGGTTCAAGTGTCATTATTGTTATTCATTGGTTTTCTTGATCTGGTCGGAAGAACGGGACATCGACCCCAACGCAGGCATTGTCAAGCACCTGAGTATGGCCAGGTTGCTCTTGATATGCTCCTGAGCTTCGGATTTGAGGCGACGGTAGTCGTGAAGCCCTTGAGGCCTCTTCAACCCAGGCAACCCCACTGTGGTCTTAACTTGGAGAGGAGCCTTCCCCTGTAACGAAGGTGCCGTCATGAGCATCTTGTTCACCCAAAGTTTGGTGTGAAGCAGCCTGGCCCATTCTTCGTCTGCGCCAGCTCGTGTCGCGGGATGCTTCAGAGATACGAAGCCACTACAATAATCTCAACTGCCAGGCTCCCCATCTTCTTGATCCTTGTCCTTCTCGGAAACCTTTTCTTCGCTACCCTTGTCTTTTCTTTTTTGAACGACCTCCCAGTTGTATACTCGCGCGATCGCAACCTCCATTGTCTGTGAAAAGAATCAGCGACGGCGGATACCGGAAGATGTGAAGACTACGCACCGTAATCTGTTCCCTCAGAAAGTCGAGATCTTCCTCGCAGTTTGACAAGCTCAACTTTGCGGTCGAGAGCTTGGACTCCAGTAAAGACTCTGCCTCGTCAATTTCGTACGCAAGCATAACGTTAGCCTACGCTTCAAATCAGCAATGCATTCGCTCTACTGCTGGAGCTTCTGGTTTTCCTACGCCCAGCCAAATGTAAACCTCCTCAGTCGGCGGGATCTTTGCTTTCGCGTATAGTGTGTCGTTCAGCTCGAATGTGGTCTCGACAGGCTCGGGATCGTCCTAGGCCTCATCAGCGTCCGCATAGCATATCTAAGGTTTCTGGAGAAACTGTAGCCTCAATGTACCTTTTTCAACTTGAGGAAACGGACCGAATCAAGTGTTTTCTGTATATCGGGAATCTTGTCGTTCAATCCACCCATGCGCTTCTGAAGGTTCAATTCCATGAACTGGTACTTCCTGACAGAGTAATATTGTTACCATACTGAGCTTTCGATAGCGAGTCGCTCATGCCCATCGCTAGCATGCTGGAATGCCGTGACGGGAGAGCTGGAAGCTCGCAGGTTCCGGCGCAACTCACGAAATCATCTCCTGGAAGTTGCGCAGAGTCGGTTCGACATCAGCGCGGGTCGAGACATAGTCCTCAACCTTGTCGACGAATGGCGCAGTAGGGATGCCTCTCGGATTGCTTGGTGTTGCATCTTTTCTGGCGAAGGAAAGAAAGTTAGTCAGTATCATACATAAAGCAACCGTGAACGTACTGGTTCGTCGCCATCTTGACGGCGTTGCTGGAAAAGCTATTGGGGTGTGCTCATTCGCATTTCAAGAGACGTGATTTTGGAAATGCTCAAAACGTCGCTGGTAGGATGGCGGGGCTTACACCTCGGTGACAGCTGTTCGACATGACGATTTGGGGTCAATGCTTTTCGGTCAGTGACGAGCCGTCGGTGAACGAGCGGGGTCGAAGCCAAGGCCACCGCAGCGCTGTCTACTAGTCTCATTTTTGGACAACCGTGGTTCAGGAGCCAGGTCTGGCAGTTTAATGAGATGAACGACTAATATCACATTGAACCCCCCAGAAGACACCAGTTTCTCTGCAATGTATGTTACAGATGCATTACGTCCGCCACGAGAAAGTTGCTCTCATGGTAACTTCAAGGGCCAGTTCAATCTGTACTTTCGTAGAGAAGACCTCCTTCTCTCAATCAATACCTTCGACTATTGGGACCTCGAGTATTCATGGCGACTTACCTGGTACGTTGGAAAGATTGTGAACATGAACAACCGACCTTTTCTCTGTCTCCAGCTCCCAATGCGGTAGGATCATGAAGATTGCTTGGCAGCGGTTCGTAAGCGCGCCCAGCTGCAGGACCCTGCACACCACGTATGACAGGCCTTGGACACATGCATGTCTGCCCCTCTTCAGCGGCAAGAAGACGTTTCGCGTCTGTTGGTTGTTGGACATTCGTCCATACTGTGTATTAATAGTACCATGTCATTTCTATGATCATGCTGTTCCAAAACGTCCTTCCCTTACGATCTTCTGTTCTCTAAGCTACAGAATCGTGGACAAGATGCGCCGCCGAATAGATGCCAACAGTAGGCACCCAGAGGGGGTCAATGCTTCAACAACGCCGCCTCAACGTCGTTCTTTACTTTCCAACTTATTTTCGAGACGCAACCAACATCGCCACCATAGTACCTCCGTAGACCAAAAGCTGCCAAACGCCGTCACCGTAGCAAACGCCGCGCATAGCGAGAGCTCCTCAGCGGTCGAGCTGGAAGATGACTTGCCTGAAAGCCCTGATACTCTACATGATTCAGATACTGGCGGATCGTCGGCTCCTTCTTCTCTGTGGGATGTCGCTTACGATGTGCTTCGCGATGAAAATGATGAAAGCAAAAGCAGAGTGGAAAAATACGAAAAGATACTCTCAAGCAAGCTTCAAGCCGTACATCTTGACCAATCTGGTATCTGTTCAAGCCGCTACCAGCTATGTATGCGCCACTGCTAATCGCTTCCCCTTTGGTTGCAGGCAAAGATTTTGGAGCCACGAACGCACACAGTATTGATATGGAAAAGGTAGACAATACCATTACTTTGGATCAGAGCAGCCGGCGCAAACAGATGAACAGGATTACGAAACTCGGCTTGGAAAAGAAAGATTCTGAAGAGATTAAGTTCCACATTGGAAAAATTGAGGTCAATGTTGGGGAGCAGGTCAAGAAAGGGTTGTCTTTCATCCAATGGGCCCAGGGATGGGTTGGCCAAGCTGTGGCTTTATCTCCTGAAGCTTCTGTAGCCTGGGCTGTTGTTTCTTTGGCGCTACCTCTACTCACGAACCCAATTTCGACGACCGAAGCACACGAAAATGGCTACGAAAAGGTTACATCTCTCATGCAGTATTATGTCGCGCAGGAAACGCACTTGTTGGGAATCAACAAAGGCGCTCACCAAAGTGCCACCAACGACAGGCTCTCGGACAAAGACACACATTCCGAGATAACAGTTCAGGTAGCAGAGCTTCGAAGGCGCGTCATTGAACTTTACAAAGCCATTCTTGACTTCCAGATACAAAGCGTCCTTCGCTTTTATCGAAATCGCCTGAAGTTGTTTGCCGCCGACGCGCTTTGCCTGACTGACTGGGATGCTTTGACCCGCGCGGTCGAGTTGCGCGAGGCCGACGTCAAAGAACTGAGCCAGCATATTCTCTCGACAAAAACCAACCATTCCCTCGAACTCTTGAGAGAGGAAGCTATCGAGGTACAGAAGCAGTGGCATCTACAACTCTCTGCTCTGGAGGTTTTGTCAAAGGAAAACCTTGCGACCAGCAAGGAGATTCTGGTAGTGTCTGCTCAGAACGGCGAGACAGCCAAGAAGCAGCTCGCATCTTCTGAGCGAGTAGAGGCTACATTGAAAGAGCTTCACAATATGGCCATCAAGCTTGTTTCCGACAAGTCGGTGGAGAAGATCGAGCTGATGCGACTGTTCGCCGAACAGGTCTCCTACGATGCTGGGCCAGAGAAGACCAAGAACCGCATCGTGAGTTTGGTCGACGATACTGGCAGATGGCTCCTTGAAAGCGACTCTTTCCAAGCTTGCTTGGACCACAAGTCGGGGCTTCATCTTGCCACTGGACTACCAGGTTGCGGAAAGTCTGTCATCTCCAGACATTTGATCGATTCAGTACTTCCTGGACATGGGTTTACGACCATGTGTTATTTTTTCTTTGATCAGCACAGCACGACAGAAGCGCTGTGCTCCATGCTTCACCAAGTCTTCACACAACAAGAATTCTTGATCCACCACGCTTTTAACGAATACGAGCGCCGAGGAAAAACACTTGTCCACAATTCTGCAGTTCTGTGGCAGATCCTTGAAGCAGTGGCCGGGGATCCGGTTTCTGGTCGCATGGCGATGATTCTTGATGCTTTGGACCAATGCAAAGATGATCAAATTGGCGACTTCATTCTAGATCATCACTGCAGGGACGGTAGCCTATCACTCTTTGTAACGACACGCCCGTACGACTATATTATCAATGGGTTCGAAGACGGCGACGAAGACGGGATTTTTGTAACCCGTGGAGAAGACGAGAAAGCGACGGCCCTAATCACGGCCGAGGTTGAGAAGGTGGTCGAGCAACGCATCAGAAAGCTTCGGTGGCCTGACCGCATGAAACAACGCCTCAAGGAACGAATGTTACAGGTCAGGAACCCAACGTATCTATGGATACGTCTCATCTTTGATGCCCTCGAGCCGAGGCGCGGCCGCGCTTCTCGCGGATTTCTACCAACTAGCCAGAACATCGACAAACTTCTATCTGAGCTTCCTCAAGATTTCAACGAAGCATACAATCAAATCTTGAGTACAACTGCCAACCAAGACCTGATGCGTACTGCTATGAGTTTGATCATCGCTTCTCAACGACCCTTAAAGGTCAGAGAGATGAACGTGGCCATGCAGCTATCGTCGTCAACGGTCTCGTTCAATACCTTGGTCGAAGATCTTCTCGACGATTCGCAGTTTGAAGACGCTTTGAGACAGTGGTGTGGACTGTTCATCATTATCCAAGAAGGCAGCATATATCTGTTACACGAGACCGGGCGGGAATTCTTCACGAGGCAGCTGCCTTCACAATCCCTTAAACTATCATCTTGGCAAGGTTCCATTAGTCTGGAGCAGGCTCATACGACAACGGCCAAGATATGCATTTGGGCTTTGAGCCAAACAGACCTGCTGACTGATGACGGTCAGCCTGTACTGCTGAGAGCGGAAGGATTTCCGATTGAAGACCTCATCGACCAGGCAGCATACACACTTAAGCCGTCAATCGACACTTCACACTCGTTCATAATATATGCGTCCCTCCATTGGGCGATGCATGTTCGAAAGTCCGGCGGTCTTCCTGGAGAACTTGAAAGCCTTTATGATCGCCTCTCCGAGCCGTCACATGGCCTATGCCAGGCTTGGTTCGGACTGTACGCTTTCGATCACCACCTCCCTATAATGCTGTCGCATTTGGATCAAATTAGTCTGAGGGTAATCTTGGGCCATGAACAACAAGTTCTGAAGGCGATTGAGGATGATGCAAGTATTCTGATTCCTGTAAGCAGAAATCCGAACCGACAAGGATTTGAACAGCCGCTGCCACTCCTTCTTGCAGCTTTGATGGCTCAAGATGAACACTTAGCCAAGGCGCTTCTCGAGGTCGGAGCGGACCCAAACGACACCTTTGGTCCAGAAGCCCCATTGCCTTGGCTCATACACGAATGCCAACCTCACATGCTCGGCCTCGTCCCGCTACTGCTAGAAAAGGGAGCTAGTACAGCCCCGGTAAAGTTTGATGACTGGACAGGTCGCACTCCCGTATACGCAGCAACCACTAAGGGGCTTGATGATGTTCTGGAGCTCCTACTCGAACACGAAAAGTGTACAGGAGGTGCAGGTACGGCATCTTTGGCCGATGAACAAGAAACACCATTGCATGCCGTGTCGGATGTCGCCACGATGAAGGTGCTTTTGAAGTATGGCGCGGATCCTCTCGCCTTGAATCACGGTGGGCAAACGCCACTTGAGACCTGCATGGGTTACGACCTGAGGCAGATTCTCCTCGATTCTTGCCATGACCGGATCGATGGATATCATGTCAGAAAAGCACTAGACACAGCAACAAGTGCTGAAGAAGTTGCTTTGTTATTTCGATACGGGGCAAGGCCAGATTTAGCGAACAGGGCTGGCGACATGCCCATATTCTCGAACCAACTCCTGTATAGGGCTGCGCCGAGCCATGAGAAAGAGCAGCGAGGCATGGTTCGCGAGTACCTTCAACACTGCGACATGGAATACCGAGATGATCAAGGCAGGAGTCCACTTCTGTTCTTTGCCGGCTGTGGTTCTCCAGCAGCTGTGGAGGAACTTCTTCTACACGGTGCCTCGACGAGTACCCGGGATTACGAAGCTAGAACTGTTCTTCATATCCTTTGCTCGCCGAGTTATTCTACTCACGGGGGAACACCGCAGCAAAAGATCCGGGCAATACTGCATATTTATGATGCCCTCAAGGACTCAGCCCTACTACATGCAACGGATAGCCGGGGGCAGACAGTACTGCATTATGCTTGCAGATGGTCAGACGAGCAGATGCTGCGATTTCTTCTTGATAAAGGACTACACATCGAAGCTGTCGACAACCAAGGGAGAACGCCATTAATGCATGCTGTTCTCTCTGAACATGCTGCTATCCATGTGCCTATACTAAAGCAATACGGCGCTCGGTTCCAGGCTCACGACTACGATGGCCTCACAGCATGTCACCTCATCTTCACTTCCGAAAGCTCATCTCATGTTGAAAGCATTGTGAGGGTTCTTGCCGCTAGAATGGATATCGACGTCACAGATAATGATGGTAGGACACCGCTCATGCGTGCCATCCAACGCAATGCAAAATGGTCTACTTTCCAAGTACTACTCGAACAACATGCGTCATGCACCAAAGCTGACAAGCAGGGTTGGCAGCCGCTCCACCATATCAACGCGCAAATATCGAATGTTGGTTTGATGGCTCTGTTGATCAAGCACGGAGCCGACGTTTCAGCTCGTACGCTGCAGGGCGAGATGCCAATCCACACTATTTTCCACTCTTCGCAGCCAACATCAGGATACTCGCACGTACCTGCTCTCCTCAAGACACTTCTCGAGCACAAGTCGGATGTCAATGCTCAGCGATTAGATGGAAAGACGCCGCTGCATCTCGCTTGTTCATTGAATCATTACCAGTCTGCCAGGGTGCTTCTGGAAGCTGGGGCGGATATGTCTCTGCGTGATGTTGATGGCAAGACACCTGTGGAACTTATCTCGAAGGAGAGGTTGAAGGCCAGAGTTGGCGAGTTACTGGCCCGGCGGAATGGAGCTGGCCCTTCCTATGCCTTGCCCAATGATGCTCTGATTGAGAGGTGGGAGCCAGCAGATGAAGTGGGAGTGACTGAGTAGAATTTCATCGTGTGCAGAAAAGATGACGAAGAGACGGCATCGAAGGGCTGCCGTTCACGCTTTGGTTGAGCTTGTTTTGTTAGTTTCTGTTTTGAGAATGTACTGCCAATGCAATCATTTTGGGTCATAGTCTTTCCGCCATCGACACTTTAAACTGGGTATCATGTTACCTATTAGCCTCTATCGCGGCTCGCACGTCGATTTCGGCCTTGCGCTCTTTAGTCTGTTTCCATCTTCTCGCCGTCCTTGCCGAATTGCACGCCACGCTCCCGTAACCTCTCGAGCATCTCGCGTTGCACCCGGATCCTTTCCTCGACCTGGCGAACCTCGTCCTCCTGCTCCTCAATATCTCGCTCCATGTCCGGCAGGGACTTGAGCTGTGTCCTTGCGCGCTGCAGCTTGTGTTTCAGGGCATCGGTCTGCGTCGAGAGCTCTCGCAGCGTCATTGCATTGGTGCCGCCGGGACTGGCGCCGAGTGGGTTGGGCGTTGCCCCCGTGGGCAAGGGCGTGGCGCCCGTGATGCCGCCTGCATTGGCGGAAGGGTTGGAAGCGTGGACCGCGGCGCGAAGGCGTGTGAGGATTGTCGTGAGCTCGGTGAGCGTATCGAGAGCATCTGGAGACAGGGTTGGCGGGAGCGCGAGCGGGTGTGGTGTTGAAGCCATGTCGGCGGTGATGATCGAGAGATGGCGGGGGCGGTCGCAATGCCAACAGTGGCCAGTCCCTCAGCAGCTCGAAAGATCGGTAGGAATCCTTTGACTGAGGCTGGTTTTCGCAACCGTTGGATGGGAAGACGGAGTAGCGCACGGGGTGGCAGCAGCGATTGGAGGTCGTCAAAAAGGCGGGAAGGGCCGATGGGCAAGGTGGGTGGAACACACCTGCCTCGCTGACGGGAGGTGTCGGACAGCAGATTCAAGTCAACAGAGGGGCGCGTTGGCCTAGCAAGGGTCACCGTGCAGGGGGTGCATGCACTGTAGATCACCAGGCCAGCGCCTGCGGACAGACAGTGCGACGAAGCTCGAGACGAAGCTCGAAACGACAAGGAGGGGGGAGCTATGACATCGAGGCCCCCCCACCATCCATTATCAGTCGATAAAACGCCTCTCTATCTTGTCTCTACTTGATTCTCAATCGTTGAGCTCAACACCATTTCCCCCCCAAAAATCACGCACATCCTACGTTTCTGTTCCTCTACCAATTCTCTCGAACAGACCTTCTCTAGCCCCCGAGAAGTGATTCCGACTTCACAATGGCCGAAACCCAGGTCCAGCCCGCTTGTCTGAGTACGTCCAAGCCTCTTCCTCCAAACCCTCCGTCTCCCCCGTCGAAGCCCCGCGGTGCATTTGGTGAGGGTGGTGAAGGCGACGAGGGCAATCCAAATTCCGCGAATGACACAAGCTCCAACTACAAATCACCCTCGCTTGGTCATCCCACCCTCCAAGGGGAACACAGAACCATGTCCTTGCCGCCCGCTCTCCGCAGGCCCGATTACATCTTGACCGCTGCTTACATGCTCATTTCGCTCGAGCTGGCCTGGCTGACCCTCTGGATTCTTCGCTCGCTATAGTCGTGATTGATGGCTGGGGTATTCCTTCAGACCGTTCGCCCAAAGATGGCGATGCTATCGCTGCCGCCGAGACCCCTACTATGGATGCCTTCTCGCAGGACAAGGAACACTTTGTCGAGCTCGAGGCCTCGTCCAATGCCGTTGGCCTCCCCAAGGGTCTGATGGGCAACTCCGAAGTCGGCCACCTCAACATCGGCGCCGGCCGCGTCGTTTGGCAGGACGTCGTTCGTATCGATGCGAACATCGATGATGGTACATTTGCGAGCAACGCAGTCCTGAAGGATCTGATGGAGAGTGCCAAGAACGGCAACGGCCGTCTTCATCTCTGCGGCCTTGTCTCCCACGGCGGCGTGGTAAGCGAAGCCTCGTGGAGTTTGATCCTTTTCAGCAGACCCTAACTTCTTTCAGCACGCCAAGCAGGACCACCTTTACGCCATTCTCAAGGCTGCCAAGCAGTACGAAGTTCCCAAGGTCTTCATTCACTTCTTTGGTGATGGCCGTGATACCGACCCCAAGTCCGGTGCTGCCTACATGGAAGAACTCGTCGGCCAGTTGCAGGAAATTGGCATTGGTGAAATCGCAACCGTTGTTGGTCGCTACTACGCCATGGACCGTGATAAGCGTTGGGAGCGTATTGAGATTGCGCTGAAGGGTATGATTCTCGGCGAGGGCGAGGAGAGCACCGACCCCGTCCAAGCCATCAAGGATCGCTATGCAAAGGGCGGCTCCAAGGACAAGGATGAGTTCCTGACACCCATCATTGTCGGTGGCCAGGAATCTCGCATCAAGGGTCAGCTAAACTTGACAATCTTTCTCGTACCGCTCTCACTAATTTTGCCACAGATGATGACACTGTCTTCTTCTTCAACTACCGTTCTGATCGCGTCCGCCAGATCACTCAAGTTCTGGGCAATGTGGATCGATCCGTCCTCCCCGATTTCCCCTATCCTAACATCAAGCCTCTCGTCACCATGACTCGCTACAAGACGGACTACCCTTTCACCGTTGCCTTTGAGCCTCAGCACATGGGCAATGTTCTGGCTGAGTGGATCGGCAAGCAGAAGGTCAAGCAGGTGCACGTGGCGGAGACTGAGAAGTACGCCCACGTCACCTTCTTCTTCAACGGCGGTGTTGAGAAGGTCTTCGATCTTGAGGTCCGGGACGAGCGGGACCTGGTTCCCTCTGTCAAGTCTGTCGCCACCTACGATGAGGCTCCTGAGATGTCTGCCGCCGGTGTCGCTAAGCGTGTCGCCGACCGCATCGCGGGCGAAGACCAGGTTGACAAAGACACTCGGGAAAAGACGGAAAAATACCCGTTCGTCATGAACAACTTTGCGCCCCCTGATATGGTTGGCCACACAGGCAACTACGAGAAGGCCATCATTGCCTGCAAAGCCACGGACGACGGTATCAAGACCATTTACGAGGCCTGCAAGGCGCACGGCTACATTCTCTTCATCACCTCTGACCACGGCAACGCTGAGGAGATGAAGTTTGAGGACGGCAAGCCCAAGACGAGCCACACAACCAACAAGGTCCCGTTCATCATGGCCAACGCCCCCAACGGCTGGAGCCTCACCGATCGTGTCGAGCTCAAGGACGGCAAGGTCAGGGAGCCTGTCCTCGGCGATGTCGCGCCCACGGTCTTGCAGGCCATGGGTCTGCCTGTCCCTGACGAGATGACCGGCCAGAGCCTGCTCGTCCAGTCCAAGTCCGAGTCTGACAGCAAGAAGAGGCCTCATGCTGAGTCTAACTGAATCATCAATGAGAAATTTTGAGGAGCTGCGAGAAGCACGGCGTTATGGTAGTAAGCGGGTGTGGTCGGTGGGAGTTTACCTAAAAAAAAGGCGCCGTGGGTTGGCGAGTGCATGGTAGGTTGGGTGATGATGTCTACAGAGGAGCTCATAGAACTAGCTCCTGATAACGATAGAAAGAAACGATGTATGGATGATGAACTCGAGTATTGACTCCAGTACGAGGATCACGTGCAATCCAGAACATTGATTACCGTCTTTTTAGTGTGATGTTTACAAGCTTCATGGCGTCGTGCACGAATGCATCGCGTCGCATTTATGGCGCGCAGATTGAACCCTTCCGCCACATGGCACGAGCACCACATACATCTCAGGAGCGATAAAGTCAGGCACCAGGGACATAACATTCTCTGTTCATCCCCAACAAGCTACGCTATCAAAAATTCATCTTTCCCCTTTCAACCGCTTCGCTCTCGGGGTGTACAAGCCAAAAGTCAAAACGCCAAGTTGGCAGCCTCTAGATAAGCCCAAGACCTTGATCTGGTCCATCCTTTTTCTGCAACCCTCAACCCATCCATCCTTCGAACCGTGAACACGACTTCCCGCCCACCATGTAAGACAAGAAGAGAAGGGGGCGGCGGTGTGAGTTGAGTAGGTTTGACAAGACGCTTCGCAAACCAGCCAGTTGACCAGATGAAAATCAAGGTGGATATCTCTTCGCTTCGTTCCCAGAAAACATGTGAAACAATGTATAAAATCAAAACCGAATCAACGCCCGAAAGATGCAAATGTGATCCATCGTGCCCCAACATAGCCAGACAAAGAGGAAGAGAGCAAAGGCTGGGTCATTGATCTCCCCCAGCCTGGACTCATGTTGGACAAGATCGGGAGAATAGGTCTGTAACAACATTAACTGCACTCGCTGCTACTCTTGTAGCCGCTCTCGGCGTCGACCGTAGCGTTGGAGCTGTCGGCAGGATCGGGGAGGTCAGTGCTCTTGCTGCGGCCGCGGGCCGTGCCGGCAGCAGCGATGGCGCTGCTGCTCGAGCGCCGAACCGGTGCTTGGTGAAGCATAAGCCCTGGTCCGTCTGGACCAGGATGAGTTGGCCTGGGCTCGTCGCCGTTGTCGGGCTCGCCACCCTCTTCATCCCCGCTCGTCATGTCTTCATTCTCAGGGTACGTGTTGATCGATACCTGATGGTGCATTGGTGTGACGTCGGCGATCCTGCTGGATTCCAGGTCATCATCCATACCGGAAGAACTAGAGTCGTCGAAACTGCTTTCGGTATTTGTGCTGAAGGGTGGGAAGAAACAGCTCGGAGGCGGTAGCGGCATAGGCGCGAAGCGCTTGATGCGGCCGGAGACATAGTCGATCTCAACCAGGGGTGGCTTGCCAAGCGCCGGTGCGGCTTTCTGCAAAGGATTGGCCGATACCTGAGAAGAGATCCTATTCACGACATACTTGGCGAAGGTATCGCTCATTTCCCGTTGAACAGGCATCGTGTTGGCCTTGGGCCTCTTGGTGCCGCAAACGACCATGAAATGATCCTCGGGGACGACGCCGCCAAGGCCAGAAGGCTCGAGCTGCTGAACTGTGAGGAATTGCTGCGAGTCGGACCATAGAAAACTCCCTTCCATTTCACTGTCGTCAGAGTCATCGGTGGTGAGATACGGTACTGTTGCCTCTGGCTCAGCTCGTATCGCAACAGTAACAGCCCTGATGTTGTCGCTCAGAGGCCGAAAACGGAGGGCAGACCCCGACGTCGTGCGCTGAGGAGGATCAGGACGGACAAATTCGGGTCCGGAACTCGACTTTTGTTGCCCGGACGAGGCCATGTGGGAAGTGGGTGAAGTGTCTCCAGGGTCACCGGACAAGTCGGTGCAGAATGGCGCTCCATTGTAATAGATGATAGCACCATCGCGGCGACGCTTCTTGCGAAGTGACGTTCCCGACCCGCTGTTTCCCCACCGGGAGTCGTCCAAGTTGCTGTCTTCAACCGGACCGACGGATGAGCTAGTGTCGTCCATGGATGATTGACCTCCAGATGTCGACTGGTGGACAAACATGGGCTTGTAGTGGAAGTTATCGGGCGAGACAGAAGTTTTGCCGAGGAGTGTTGGGTTGTGTTTGCCGCTCGAATGCGCCGAAGATGGATCTACCTCTCCTGCCACTTGAACCTTCTTCAACTTCTTTCGCGGCTCTTCCTCGTTGGAGCCATCAGTATCCTCAAACGATGGACTCTGTCGAGAGCCATCACCTGAGCTGTCGCTACTGAATCGCGTGCCGTCACTTCCACCTCTCCATCGGATTTTGCGGCCGTCGTGAGAAAGTTGGAATTTGGTGCTCTTCTCCGTCACAGCCGTCCGAATGAAGTCCGGGGTCACATTGACGATGTGAAGCTGGGCCAGACTGCAAAGTAGGTTAAGGTACACCCAGCCGTCGGCATCGGATGCCACATCTTGCACCTCGTGGACTGGAAGTAATTCAGGCGGAACGAGACCGAGATGACGGATGTAGTCCATATTTTCGGAGGGGACCTGTTTGCGGTGAGGATCAAGATCCAGCGGCCGGGTTGCACGTTGTTCGGCTGGTGTTGCGTCTGGTGGCGAAACGCTGTTACTAGTCCGGGCAACAGCCGTGTTTCCTGTCGCCTCGTTCTGGTCGCCGTTGGAATTTTCTGTCGAGTCGTTGTCCCTGGATCGGCTTTTCTTGCTTGGTTCCTCCGCGATGCGCGCTTCTCTGGAAGCCTCCGGATGTGCCAGGCTGGGTGGTTGGTGAACCATTGAGCCTTGACCAGTGGTGACTTCGGACGATTTGGCGGCGAGAACCGCCCCTTTCTCGCGGAACGCTTGTCCCGTAATCTTCCCAGTGAAAAGGTGCTCGAGTCGTCGCACGACGAGCTTCTTCTTTTCCTTGTCCGTCATGACCATGTGTCGCGGATAGAGGCCTTCCGGGATGTCTTTCAGATAGCTTTCGACCTTCTGTTCCGAAGATCTGGCTCGCGAGCTCATTGAGGGGCGCGTAAGAGAGGTACCTGATGTGTTCGGCCCCGTTGACGCGGAGGCATAAGCCGAATCGGCATGCTTCCAATTTGAGCCGGAAGAAGATGAGGCGTGTTTGGACATGGAGCCCGATGCTGAGTACATCTTATCGTGATTCCGGGACGACTTCTTGCGAGCGGAAGAGGTCTCGGCGCTGGCAGATTCACTGAGTCCAGAGGCGAAGTCGCGAAGTGTTGCCTCGAGTTCCCTCTTCTTCCGCTTCGGCAGACCGTGAACCTTGATCTCGAACAATTTGTCGCGCTTCAAGAGGTCTGGGCCAGACTGCTTGTACTTCTTCAACTCATCCTTCAGTTTTTGAATCTCGACAGTCAGATCATCAATGACACTGCGGTAGTCGCCGGTGCTGCTGCTGCGTGCTACGGGCGGCCTCAGAGAATGGGAAGCGCCAGGCTTGAGATGGAACGGGTATGTTGCCTTGTTGCCGCCGTCTTCGATGGATGAGTCGCTCTCTTTTTGATAAAAAGGAGGGTCAACTATAATTCAAGTCAGTTACGGCTTCGACACGTAATCGGGACATTCCGTCATACCATCCATGCCTTGGGTGTATGCAGCGGTCGGGTTCTCGTTAGAACGATCAAACCACCTCATGGCATCGCTTTGGGTTGTATCTTGGCTTTCCCCAGATGAACCTCTTGTTGGCGACGTGTCGACATCTTTGTGGATCGATATTGTAGGTATTTGGCTTGATTGAGCTGATCTCATGCTGGCGGCGTTTCGTAGACTCGCATCGCGGACGAGGCGATGATGCTGCAAAGTGACGGACTTGTCGGGGGATGTTCTGCGTGGCATGGGCTGCCCAGCGGCGTTGTCGGGCAACGACTGGGCATCGCTTGGTTTAGCCGTTGGGTCGGCCATGGATATGGTGCGTCCCCAAGAAGCCAATATGCGGGGACGAATTAATAGGTGTGAATGTGTTTGTTGTTTATCGTGGGTTGTGTGGTGAAGTCGAGATGGCGCGAACGTCGTGTGCTGAGTTCAAGGCGTCGAGAGTCGTTGTCGTCGGGCTGAGGATCGTGGGTTGTTGGGTAGTTGGGGGAACGGTGGGTGAAGCGATCGAACTGGAGGGTCTGCAGTATTAGTTGCTGGATCATGGAATGGCAGAAGGGGGGGTGGGCGAGACGCAGGGCCACAAGCCGCACACCCATGGTAAGGTAGTACAGGCTCAGGGTGGGAGTGAGGGCAAGTGCATGCGCTGATTGGCCTGTGTCATGATCTCGATGCAGTGGGCGGAGGTGGAGGGATATGACGTCCGCCGGTTCTGGCCAGACACCCCTCCCCCAGCTTCACACCTGAGCACAATCCAGGATAAAGTAACAACGTACAGAAGGAGTCGCAAGCACCGTTTTTTCGGGACGATCAAGCTGGACGTAGCTGTGGCGGCCTGTCTTTTTTGCGACAAGGTGCTGAATTTCGGGTCGCGTCCTGGCGTAGTTGGTCGGCCTGAGGGGATCGATCGAGGTGCCAGTGCGCATTGGCAGCCACGGAAACGGCGGCAGAGGATTGATTGCACTGTGGCCGCCAAGGCCAGAACGAGTGGCCTCTTTGTTTTCCTCCACCACTAGATGAGCTGCAAAGCTTTGGGCGATGATTTCGAGATGATGGATCGATCTGTTCGCCGATGGACCAATTTTGTTCGTTCGAGATGGAGGGGGCAATGAGCTTTGGTCGTCGCACGCCGGTCGGAATGGCGAGTTGCCGCGGGCCAAGAAGCGAAGCTCTAGTGTCGCTTCGACGGCTCGTCGAGTGTGCCTGTTGCAGTAAGGCGAGTTGTGTGACACGCTCTCAATCGCGATGCTCGCTGTTGCTTGTTGCCCGTATCTCTAGGCTCGTGGTATCGAGAGCCTCTGACGCAGCTAGCACTGCGCGTCAAACGGCCAGCATTAGATGGCAAAGAAGGCAAATTCGCAGTTGCTGGGGAAAATTGGGTTGAGCAGAGAGCTTTTTTTGACCAGGAAGCGGGAGGCGAAAATGGGCTGTGGGTCGTGAGAATGCTGGGAGACGGATCACCAGACTCATCGGGACGAGTTCCTGAAGGTGCCTGTTGCTTGGCCTGCCTATCTTGGTTTGTGCACCCATAGGTACGGCGGCACTGGGTCACGGCGGCGTGGCCAGAAGCCTGGAGCCCCGTGCAGCACAAACGTATGCGGTCGTGTTACTCAATGGGAGGGGAGAAGAGGCAACGGGCGATGGGGCCCTGGCGATTCGATCGCGACCGGTGGTGTCTTTCCTACAGATCGAGAGAGGGATGGTGTGGCCTGATGAAAATCGGGGTCATGTCGATAACGCCACGCCATGTCTGGTACTTGGTCGGGGAGGCGGATCCCTTCAGGGTCGCCTGTGGGGTGGAAGTCCACTAGGTGTGGGCTGTATGTCGTGAGCTTGACGTCATACCACATAGATGTCCGGCGATAGACAGGCCCACGATGCTCACGAAATATTGAGACAAGCGAACTGTGATACAAGTAGACGACTCTGCAGGCAGTGCGCATCGTACTCTGGTCGCAATTACCTACCCATCATCTTCGATTTCTTATCGATTTCTTACCAGCCTACAACGGGGGCCCGATACACCGAGGCCTTGTTGCAATCAAGCCCCCAGGCCCTCAAGCCCCCAAGGACCCCGAAAATGATGGTGCGCTAAATGTCAAGACACGACAGCCTTGCATAAGCTAAGCCCGAGGGGGTGCTAGTATTCCTGGGCCTCTGATTCGCTTACCAGCTTCCGAAGGAGACGTCAAAGGCCCAGACCCATACCGGCCCACCTTTAGTCACCCAACCCTGGCTCTCTTTCTGTGCCTCGAAATCTGGCTTTTGGCCAACATCGACGTTCGCCCAGCACTGTTTCGGCCGTCGTCCTTCCACACCTTGCTGGCTCAGAGCGAACGAGTGGAACTGGATTTCTTCCGCTCGAACTCACTGCGTATGATCGGATGCCATCTGCTACGACGGAACATCCCTTTATCCGAGAGTAAGTGTATCTGTGGGTGTATAGTCACCCTTTGGGGACAACAAGGCGTTGGTACAGGATCAACTAAGCTATTTGGACCCCTAGTTGATCATTTCCTGTTTCCCAACGCTCTGCCAGGTACACCTACAACTGGAGCGGGGCTTGACAATCGTCATTTTGGCTGCGGGCATGTTCCAATTCCACAGCCAAGTTTTTAAAGGTAGAAACGTCATCACCATCAGCCTGGTGGAAAGAATTAGAAGATTCCGGCCCGCACGTCAAATGCAAAGGAAGCAAGGCTGGGCACACCGCCGACGCGATGCTGGTACAACCTCAAGGCCCGGTACACTAAGGACACTTCCAAGCGACTGTTTCTGCACCAAGCTTGACGTTGTGTAGATCCTGCACCGCGACGACGGCTCTTCGGGTTTTGCCCAGCCTTTCCGCCACGCCACACCAGCTGTGGCTGGGATCCCGGAGCCCGGCGCGTCTGGGTGGCCTGGTCCCCCGGATGGACTCGTCCGAATGTATGATCCGCACGACCTACACGCGCCACCGCGCGCAACCGTCCACAGACCTATCAGCAGGCTCCGATCCCCAGTTCACGCGTCTCTGGCGCGTATCGGGATGAGCCAAGATGCCCATCTTGTACAGCTGCCCTTGCAGAGATGGAGCGAAGATTCGATGTCGCTCGCCCAGATCTCGGAGCATCGTGTCGTTCAGAATACTGCAACCCCATGGCGTGCTCTTCAGTCATCGCCCCCTAGCCCCCCTCACCACCCCCTGCTGAGGCCTTCGGCGAAGACGGTGATGTGAGTTAGGGTTGGAGGGTGAGGGAGGGGGCGGTGGAGGTGATGGGAAGCTCACCCACATGCAGGTCAGTCAAACAAATGTTTGGCACGAAATCCAGGAGCCGAACATGGCATTTCTGGATTTCCCCTCGTCGAAATCCTCAAATCCCATCATTTGCCGGCCCCTCCCCATGGCCGGTGATGCTCGTGGGCTTCCGTGATCAACCTCTTGGCACTCCCTCTACCTTACGTGCAGGACACGGTTCAGGGGTGCTTCTTCATGGTTGAGCTGAAGACATACCGGCCTGTCTACTAATGTGGAAAGAGTCATCCACTCGAGGCGCCGAGGGATAAGCGAGCTAATCTCTAGCCAAACCAAAAGAGTCGTTCTGGTCCCCCCAACCATGGCCACGACGATGGTCTAGCCGGAGGTTTTAAGGCCGCCGATCCTTGCCCAATATGGAGTAACATCGCATGGAGCTCCTCCCTGCCCACGCGACGGCCCGGCAGGGTCTGGAAGCCTGTCCGCTGGTCCGCTTAAAACACCTCGAACAGAGTCTGGACGTAGTATGACAGTGCGTAAAAGGAAGCCACCGGTCCGCCGATCGGTTTCTGTGTTGACATCAAGTTCCAATGGGAGCCAGTCGCCGACATCTTCAACATGATCAAGTCGTGGATATCACGTATATGATGCCCCTTGTAGGAGTTCAACACCAGTGGATCGAAATTGGTGCGCTGTGCCCAGATTCCATGATCTTTGTAGTCGAGCCTCATGGCGGAATCTTTCGGGACAGGATGCCAATAGCGTACCGGTTATTGCTGCGGACTACGCGACACGGGTCATTGCGTGTGCGAAAGACTCCGGTTCCTGCTACTGGCTATGCTCACGCATCAGCACGCATATCCCGGTAAAAGATATGTATATGAATGTATAGTGAGCAGCCCTGGGACAATCCCCGAGTACATCCAGTTGTTGCTAACAGTGTCATAGCTCTAGCTTGCGCCATGCTGTATTCAAGCGTCGTGAAATCCTGTTGGACGCATGTTTAGGTGCCTCTCTATTGGAAGGTGTTGCCGCGGAACGAGGCTGTTGGTCACAAACAGACTCCTGGGTATTCAATAGTTCTTTTCTTGTGCTGTAAGTTACCATGTCGTCCATGGCCGTGCTCATTGTACCTTGTGTGGGTCATGTGCTGCCTAGCCCCCTACGGGTGGTTGGCAGGGATGGCAGGTCGGGGGTTCAAGGAATCCGGGGTTCCCTACCGACCGGTGCCACACTGGAGGATACTGACTTCAGAAGACGACGTGAGAGGCTATTCAATCATGGATATATATGCAGATCATGTAAGCACACAATGCATGACGCTCCCCGGGCAGTTTGTATGCATGCCATTTGGCCGTACCCGACAATCCCTCAACCCCTGGCGATCTTGACTGCCTGGAGAATATCCTTCAGTCCCTTGCCTGGTTCTCCTGGTACCACGTCCGACCAAATCCTCTCCTCCAACCTCTCGTCCACGGGAAGCACACTCCAATTCGGACTGGCTTCAGCCTTCAACCATTTGAAGTCATCGACTTGGTCCCACTGATTCTTCGAGTCATCACCGGGTGATTCCTAGACCAGTCAGCACGGTCCTGCCGCCATGTCAGGTCTTCACGTACAAAGGACCTAGGGAGCGGGGCAAATCGCATGTGTGAGCAATCCTCAATGATGGGTCTGCTCCCGCAGTAGAAATAAACGTCCACGTTGTGGCATTCGTGAATTCGTACTTGCCGTGCTGACACGACGAGAATGCTGTTGCGGATTCCCGTGATATGCACCGGCCCATCGACGTTACCGGCTAGCACGAGACTCCGTTCAATGTTTTTGAGTGCCAGGTTTGCGAATGGTGCGGCGCTGCCCGTGGCACGCGACATGTCCACAACGCAACCGGAAATGTCGGTCAGGCGGCCGGATGAGGTGGCATGGCTGGCGGTGGCGGGCAGCAGGATGTGCAGGTCGGTTTGGCCGTAGATGGCGATGTCGCGAGCGGTAGAGAAACTAGGTTTGCGGATGTGAGAAGTCGACGGCTGTGCCATCTCATCATTGTAATTCCGGACCGTCGTTGGGGCCAGCGGTGCAATCGTGTCTTGCGCCTCGGAGGCGGTGCTCGCGGCGGGTGTCCTGGCAGCTTGTGAGGTGGCAGTGTCGTTGCTGTTGGAGAGTACGCGAGGATCTGATTTGGCGCTTGAAGGCTGGATACGGGACTTGAATTGAAACCTGGATCGGGGTGCGAGCTTGGCGGTTGTCACATTGAGCTTGTCTGTTAGGGTCTTGATGGCTTGGGCATAGTTCCGTTGGTCGTAGGAGGGGACGAAGTCCGAGGCATCGGCAACCTCACTGGACAACCTAGAGATGGCAGCCAGTATGGAATCGGCGGCATCCTTCCTTTCGCCACCAACAGCAGCAATGGTAGACAGGCGATCTATTTGGTCTTGGAGGGCTTTACTGTGTTATCATTTGAGACGAACAAATACAAAGCTCCAGAAAGGATCGCTTACAAGTCACTTCGACCTGGAAATGGCGGTAGAACTTCTCCTTGGGGTCCTGCATTTTGGTTACTACTGGCAGTCCTCCCCCGGCAGCGACGGGCCGAATCACATCAGGCGTCATGATGATTATGGAGAAGAAGTATCGTCTTCACAGAGCAATGGCAATATTGAGATATGGATTGTTTACTCTGACCTGCGTCGACAGAAAATACAGTCTGAATCTTGAGGGTAAGAAGTCAAGCAAAACGCCTGCGACGTGGCGGAATTGCCGTGGGTTAATATGTAGGTGAAGGCGTCCAGCAGGGCGACGTGGGAGTGGTGTGGTTACGCGACGTGGGGTGACGATGGTGGTCCTCTTCGTGGTCGAGGCAAACACGGTAGTGACGTCGCAAGCTGCAGACCTGCCACGCACGGTAGAACCTCTTGAGCTGAGTGCAACCAATGTTGGTGTGGGCTATACCATGTGGGCGATCACACGATGTTGATGCTGGGCAAGTGATGCTGGGCAAGGAGTGGCGGAGGAGCGCCGAAATGCACGTCGACGGTTTCGTGTCACAGGCTGTAGGCGATGGCGGGGGCAGTGAGTTCGATGAGGGGTCTACATCTTTGGCACACGAAGATGTGGAGACAGAGTCGTGACATCAGATGGTGTGATTGGCGGAGACACGACTCATGATGGACCCTGGATCAGCGTCCACCAGGCAGGAACCCAAGCCCCTCGTGACGTCGTGCCTTCCTACCTCCCCCGCCCATTCTCTCGTCTGTTGCTTGCCCATTCGTGTTGACTTCTACATGCTCTGCATGCTCGCCGACATGCTCTGCATGCTCGCCGTCATGCTCTGCATGCTCGCCGTCATGCTCCTGGCAGTCTCGGCGCAGCATCTGCCTTGAATGCTGTGCCAGCTGGCCCGAGGGAAATCCACGGGCAGAATAGCTCTGGCTGTCATTTTACTCATGACAGCCAGCATTCTCACCTATCGGGAATGGTCTCCCGGACGATGTTGATGGTCAGTATGAACATAGCAGCATCACAATGCTACACAGGACCACACGACCATCCGAAACACGACAGTGAGAACACCCTTTTATTTAGACGATACTAGTTCTGCAACAAGGTCTTGAAAAAGGCCGCAGGCGCCGTCTTCGGTGCTGCCAGATGGAGGACCTCCTCACTGGTTGTCGATGCCGTACATTCACCTTCCCAAGCTTTGACGCCAGCATGCTTTATCGACTCAGTAAGAGCTTTGGGCCCAGGGCTATGTTCCACGAGGTAGTCGATAAACGACATGTCCTTGTAGTGGACTTCTTCGACCTTGGTACCGATCTCCTGCTCCACGAGCGCCACGATTTGCCGCCCAGTGATGTCCTCTGGACCGTTCAAGACGTACTTGGCCCCGTTGTGCGCCGCCACATCTTCCTCGACGAGCAGCCGCGCGGCGAACTCTCCGACGTCGTCCGCATGAACGATGCCGACGGGTGCGTCTTCCGCCGCGATCAGCCTCAAAGGGCTTTGCTGTCCGGTCTTGCGGAACTCGTTGACGAGAGTTGCCGCTGTCTGCAGGTAGAAGGACGTGAACACATTTGGCTGAAGTGACGTCCATTGTAGGCGCTTGAACTCGGGCGAGCTGAGCAGGGCCTCGATGGCCCAGTGGGCCCTCGGGTAGTAGGCCTCGGAATCGGGACGCACGTTCGCCGCCGTCGTCGAGATGCGCACGACGTACTCGACGCCTCCTTTCAGTGCGGCTAGGTGGAAGGTAGACTCCTCGGCGAACTGAGTCGGCTCATTGTGGGCTGCGATGAAGGCCCTCGCGACATTGTGCTGCCGAAGCCAGTCCGCCGTGATGTCCACCCAGCTATACTCGATAACTTCGACGCCAGGCAGACCAGCGAGTTTCTGTGCTGCGGCGCCGCTTGCGGATCTTGTGATGGCCAGAATCTTGTGGTTCGAGAAGGTGGGACTGGCCTTGACGAGTTCCGACAGGGTAGCAACAACGGCTTTACCTGTGTTGCCCGTGGCACCAACTACGAGGAAAGCGGAAGTCATCGTGTGATGGGTTCGATTGGGGTGTTTTCGATGAGTATTCCGGAAGTTATGTTTTCTGAGAGAAGACTTGTGTGGCATACGGGCGGTGGTGAGACTCTACAGTTCTACTTATACACTCCGCCGTTGGGATGCTGAATAATTAGTATCATGTCTGCTGCGGACCTCGACGCCAAGTCTCCAGCTACGCTACCATGTAATGTCCGCAGGCCTGATCGGTGGCCCATTGATACCTTTCGATACAACGAGAAGCTAGGAAGGCGGGTCGGCTTTTACGCCATCATACCTCGTCCAAGTACCTCAGACTTGGTAGATTGGAGGTGGGCGAATGAGGTAGAATCTCGATGACGCCAGGCATTTTGCACAGCATCTGAAAAGCGTAAGAGGGCCGCGAAACTCAATTCCTCACATATTCAATTGCGCTGAAAGTCATGCGGGATTAGGTTAGTATGAACAAGAGAGCATGCGGTTTCACCCACTTGGGTAGCGGACCAATACTCGAGCAGAAAGTTTTGGTAGAGTATAGTAATCATGTCAGGCTATTGCTTGATAATCGTTCTCATTGTTCACAACCATGTTGCCTTGTTGGTGCTAGAGCGGACGGAGCCTCTGCGGACTTTGGCGGAGTTTTGTTTCTGATGACGCAGTACATGTAGATGCGAAAATTGTCGGCGCTCAATATCTCAGTGTCGCACCGCTCTCATCACCTAGTATCTGAATTGCCTACCTACCTACCTTACAGGGAGCAGGGAGCAGGTGGGGACTTGAGGTTTGACTTGTAAGACCATCATCTTCGTGTAGCGAGCAGCATAGAAGCTAGCCTCCGAGGTATTATTGATATGACGAAGCGCAACATTTCGCAGAAATGGCCAAGCTAACGAGATCCGCCTTATAGAAGCCCGCAAACGCGAAGGAAGCTTGTCGTCGTGGAGGGTACTGTTACCGAGCCTTCAGCGAAACAGCCCCACGCACCATGAACAACCACACCGAACACGTTGGGGCGGTCAAGCTTCATTTGGCTCCCGCCCTCGCATGTAGGTCTGACCACCTGCCAGGTTCCTCTCGACATTTTGGCCTGTTGGCACCCTGCGCCCTTTGGTTGACATGAATGTCAATCTTGATGTGACTCAGGCGCAAGTTGCATGGGGTTGTTCCATTGTGGTTTGCGGTTGGTGCTTCTAGTGCCCACACCTTAGGCAGGCGCGCCTCATCTTCGATCAGGGAAGGTGGTGGAAGATCACAGCCACTCGAGTCGCACAGACTGCATCTGCGCTAGCCATCCTCTCTTCGTCCATCTTTCAGCCCTGCAACATCGAGACTGGATTATATAAAAGAACATCATCACAACCGTTGACTGAATGGCTGTATCCTTGGTGCATCCTGCGATAATACAAGCTCCTGCCTTCATTCCCGCCAGAGCCTCGGTGTCAATTCTCTACCATGGCTGCTGCAACACATATCCAGCTGCCCCAACCGGCACCTCGATCGATACTCAGCCAATATCAGACATTCCCTGCATCCCGGGGCACCTCCAAACGTATACACAACGATGATCGGGTCGATGCAGTAGAGTTCAACGAGGCCCTTATACTGGCGTCGCTCTGCCGCAAGTATCTTAACCTGCTCCACGCTACCTCGCCTGCTTTCGATCACGCCTACGCATATACCCCTGATGAGATACTCGAACTCCCTCTGATGAAAGTCCGGATCGATGACGTTCTCCACGACCTACCACGGCGAAAATCCAACCGCGCCATGCTGGCAGGCTCCATCGCGGATCTTCTCTTCCCCTGCCACGCTGGCTCTCTCTCGCCCATCATCCGCTATGATGCTGACCGCGTAAAGTTGCATGCCTGGGCAGTGCTCCAGCGAAGATACGACATGATAGTCGCAACCGTAAGGAACGGTCGCACTCGTCATGGTCTGACTGGCCAGGCTGACCCGGGCGTTCCTGCACCGGTCTGGGCCTCTCGCATCCTGGCACAGGGCCCTTGGAATAAAGACAGCCATCCCATCTCCCTCGAGGGACCTCAGGCACTCCCCATGCCGGTGCAAGTTGCCGAGGCTGATGACCTGGCCCCATTCTTCCACCATCTTGAACAGGGCGGGACACACGAGCTCGGCGCCTCAACCACTGGACATGCGCTAGACGATGGCAACGGCGAGCCTTACTATCACGTCCAGGGCGCCGAGTTCCAGAGAGGCGTTGTGTATGAGGATGGTCGCATGGATCTTTGCAAACAGGTCGTGGGTCCTGATCATATCGGCGACCTCATGAACAGCCTGCGGGCCAATGAGCACGTCAGGCACTTCCTCCTTGGCAATAACATCATCGGCCCAGTAGGTGCACATCATATAGCCTCATTCATCAATGCACTTCCTAGCCGTATGGACACCTGGTACCTGGCGGGGAACTGCATTGATGCCCCGAGTTTCAAGACTCTCGTCGACGCCATGATCAAGTCTGACGCTATCACGAACGTTTGGCTCAAACGCAACCCTCTCGGCAGAGCTGCTGCCCACGATGTCTATCGGCTGATCACCGAGACAAGAAATCTACGCACGTTGGATCTCGACCAAACTGAGATCGGTGATGCTGGCTTCGTCGAACTTTTCACTGACCTGGCGGCCTACAAAGACCGGGTGCTCCCTCTGGAGAACTTATATATGAATGGTACTGGCTTCGCCGAGGCTGCGGCTCGGGCGCTCGCCAAGTTCCTGGCCTCGCCCAACTGTCGCCTGACATCGATATACTTGTCGAGCAACCCCATCGGAGACGACGGCGCTGCAGCCCTTGCCAGTGCCTTTGCAGTCGCTCCCCAGGTCTCACGCCTGCTCTTACAGTCCATCGGCCTTACCACCCGGGGCGCTCAAACAATTTGCGAAGCCCTAACATCTCACCCCGGCATCCGCTGCCTCGACATCGGCCAAGCATACGCGACACATGATCTAGGCCAGGCGTACAATTACATTGATGAAGGCGCCATCCGAGCTATTACTGACCTTCTGACCTCAACCCCATCCCTGGCTTCCCTCAACCTCGGTCACTGCCCCATCACTCCCCTGGGTCTTGGCCAGATAACCACAGCAGCGTTACAAAGCTCTCTCCTTGCCTACATTGCCATCTCCATCCTCCCGGACCCAAACATCAAGAAACTGGGGTTCGTCCCATCGCGCGACAGTAAGATGCGCGACGCTTCATCCTACACTGCGCCGACCAAGGAGCAGAAAGCCCTCGATCAAGCACTACAGCAGCACATGGAGGCAAACGTCCGGTCTGTCTACGGCGAGGACATGACCTACAGCAGATTCATGGGTGAGGAGCGGAGATGGCTCACCAACGACCGGACTGACGTGAGGAAAATTGACTCCGTCTATCGAAATCGGGACATGGGCCTTGCGCGGCGAGGCCTCATGACGTTGGTCAAGAACTGGAAGGAGGGCGATGATACGCTAGAGAGGGTGATCAAGGCGCAAGGCCCGTTCTGCTGCAAGAAGCGCCGAGTTTGATCTGTGAACTGTGAGGCTTTCAACCTTCGACTTGGGTCTTCGCAAAACAAGTTGCGCTTTGAAGTTTAGCACGTATTTCAGTTCCGGCAATGTGGTTTCATGTTCTAGAGGCCTCGGTCGTACTCCTTTCATGAGCACGCAATTTCAACCATTTTAATCGAGTTGTTTTCCTTCATCTTCCAATACCCCAAGAATAAGCGTTAGTGAGCTTCAAGGTTACCCTGTGCTAGACTCTCACGATTCCACCATTTGTAAGTCTGGCTCCTTCTCGCTGTAGTCCTTGTTTGGTGCAGCCTCGTTGACCTCCTCCCAGGTACACTCCCAACCTTGTAACATGGGCCAGAGTAAAAAGATACGACAGTATCGAAGGCAACTTGGCGCGCTAATCATATCTCGAGGCTGATGGTCTTGGTAAAATCAGGCCACTACAAGACATTAGATGCGCGAGACAAAATCTTGCTTGCGGTTCGTACGCCGCGCTTTGCTGTGAAGCCCAATGTTATTCTGCAATGGACGAAGACGTTGAACAGCGGTTGCACAAGGCACGCAGCGCGTTGCGTCGAGAATGCAGTGGCTGCACTGAGCCAGTGGCGGGTTCAAAGCGTCTGCGTGACTTGCGAAGTCCTCGGGGCTGGTTGGCCTGCAACAGACGTGTCACATCCATCTGAGATCGCCTGGGGAGGGGAGAGCTCAAAATGTTAGGGAGATGGTATTCACAAATTCCAATTCGATGGCGTTCGACATGTTTGGGTCTGGAGAATGCGAAAGGGAATTGGTCTGCGAGGAAATTCCCACGGGACTTGCCTGTCCCATGAGGTTCGAACCGTGGTCAATTCAGCCTTACCCGGTCAGTATCTAGCTCGGACTCTAACGCGAACAAGGCTTCAGGGGCGGACTTAATACGTGTTAGTTGTGAAGTGGAGGAATGCTGCCAGGGATGGACCTGAGGGGCTGAAGGGCCTGGAGCGAGCTCCGTCTCGTGGACACAAGACATTTCCCCAGGATACGCTTCTCTGGCTCGTGGAAAGTGAGACAAAAAAAATGATACGCCGACTTCCAACATCCCATGTGTTGTCTATGAGCTTTGAAAATCGACGCGTGCGAGGTTGTCTATAAAGTTGATGATGGCAGCTCCTCGGGAGCTTTGTTTCGCCGATCAACCCTGGTCCGACTAACACCAACTGACCTCTATTCATTCTTTACAGCTGTTCGCAGCCATGTCACTCTTTACCATTCGTTCACTCTTTACAGCTTTGCTGCTTGGCAATGCTCTTGCCCTGCCTGCCCACGAGTCCAAGACGGCGACCAAGTCGCCCAAGGACATATGCAATGACGGGAAGCTGGCCGCCGGGAACCCTCGTGCGGCCTTCTTCCGGAAGCTCGTGGGCGACTCCGGCTACAGCAACCACAGTCGATGCCCGTCGCCCAAGGACGGGCCCTTCAAGGTCGGTATCATTGGCGGTGGCGTTGCTGGCTTGTACGCCGCCATGATCCTGGACTCTCTGGACATCGACTACGACATCCACGAAGCGTCCGGTCGTGTCGGAGGTCGAATATTCACCCACCGCTTTGACCAAGCGGCTTGGGACAAGTCCACGCCAGAAGACCCGGCGTACTATGACTACTATGTGAGCCCGAATCGCTACCGTTGAATCCCGAGATGTCACTAATACGGCTTTCAGGACGTCGGTGCGATGCGCTTTCCACCCATGCCATACATGGATCGCGTCATTGGAAACGAATCCTGGAGTTTGATCCCATATCTGAACGCTCGCGTTTCCGAGCGGGATCAAGTCGTCCAGAAGAGTTACGTCTTTCAGACGAACAACACGTTTCGTCGTTTCAACGGCGTCACGGCCCTCATCCAGGAGCCGAACTCTGCGTCGGCAGAGAGATACGATGTCCCCTTGTTCAACGCCACGTTTGATGCTCTTTCGGCGTCTGAGGTCTGGTCCGACCAGGTCCAAACCATGGTCAACGCCCTCTCGGACGACTTTACGACGGGATTCAACAAACTAATGAGTTACGACTCGATGAGTGTCAGGGATTTCCTTCTCGCCAAGGGGTTCACCAACAGCGAAGTTGACTGGATGGAGACGATGAACGACGCAACCGGCCACTACGACACCTACTCCATGGCCCAGGCCGTCCTGGAGGAGTGGATCTTCACAAGCGCCGACATCAACAAGTGGACTCTCATCAACGGCGGCATGGATATGATTACCAAGGCCATGAATCTCATTGTCAAAAACAAGCCCGTCCTCAACCATAGGGTGACGGACGTCAAGAAGAAGCCTGACGGCACGCTCAAGATGGTCGTCAACGGCGCTGACGAGTATGACTATGCTCATGTCATTTCCACGGCTCCGCTGGGTGCTCTTCAGATCATCAACATGACGGAGCTGGGACTGAGTTACTACCAGAACACTGCTATTCGCAGCCTGAAGTTTGTGCCGTTCCCCTACCCTGGAGAATGTGTTCGAGTTTTACTGACGCGATGGATGTAGTTATGATCCTGCTGCCAAGATTGGCCTCAAGTTCAAGACTCGCTGGTAAGATGCGCTCGCGTGCGGAACCAAGAGGAACGACTCCGTAGCTGACGAAACTCAGGTGGGAGAAGCTGGCGACTGGCCCTTTCCAAGGCGGACAGTCCTTCACCGACCTCCCCATCCGGCGCTGTGTATACCCCTCGTACGGCATCGACGTACCCGGGGCGCCCGGCACCATGATCGCCAGCTACACCTGGGGCCAGGACGCCTCGCGCCTCGGATCCTACCTCAACCCGCACAATCCGACCAACCAGGAGCCGTACCAGCCCGAGAGCATCAAGACGCTGGTCGAGGTGACGCTGCGGGACCTGGCCGAGCTGAACGGCGTGACGTACGAGTTCCTCGAGTCTGAGTTCGTCGACTTTCACGTCTACGACTGGTACGGTTCGGCGTACTCGAACGGCGCGTTTGCCATCTTTGGGCCCGGCGAGTTCAGCAGTCTCATGCCCTGGCTCATGACGCCTGCCGCCAATGGTCACATGCACTTTGGCGGCGAGGCGCTCAGCTCGGGCCACGCGTGGATCATCGGCGCTGTCAACAGTGCCTGGAGGACGGTATATGAGATCCTGTCGGTCGAGGGCATGAATGACAAGATGAAGCAGTTTGTCGACCAGTGGGGCATCATCGACGAGGTTGACATGGGCTGGTACGACTGGTCTCCCGAGGGGAAACCGTAAGCCAATTCACGTAGATAGCTGAACGGTGTGGTGAAGAGAAAAATGAGCGGTCGTCGTGCATTGATTGTATGAAGGGTTTTTTAACCCAGTATTGGCTCTTGGTGATGGAAGTGACAGTGACCGAAAGACGTGCTAGGTACATTCGAAAGGGGTATGCTCCTGCATCGACAAGACGGCAGTGGTGAGCAAAGCAGGCTATGGTCTGAAAAATCAGGATCTCGTGCAGAGGTCCTTCGCAAATGCTGACGCGGCAGATCCCAGGTCGCTGAATTAGGTAGTGAGGCAATGGGTAGTAATCATGAATGCTGTTAAGTCATGCCTATGATTACAGGGGCCTCAGTGAGGTTGACATGCTGCCGCAGACTGAACACTGACCAAGTGGTTAAGATCAGCCATCTCGCTGAACTTCATGACGAAGGTTGCTGAACTTCATGATGAAGGTCTCGCTGGGACACCGAGGGAGAGTAGAGGAAGAATTGCAGGCTGTTCGACGACGATGGTGAGAGGAGGAGGAAGTCAGTATCCAAAAAGGTATATGTAGTAGTACGATGCGAATGGAGTCTTCAAGCCGAAAATAGTACACTAAGCGATTTGATCGATAACACTGGGGAATGTACGGGGAATGCACGGCAAGCAAGACATGGTCGAACCCATCAACACTTCAATCGGGTACGCGAAGGCATGGGGTCACCCGCGATCATCGTTCCTCATTTTTAGTGAATCTGAAAATTAGTGTCAATGCGACTTCGCTCTGAAAAACTTTCTTGCGCCCATCTCGCGGCGCTGATTGATTACACTCGCGCGCGATAGGTAGTCATAGCGAATCGACATCTCTTCACTGGAGCTTCACCACCCAGGGCCTCGGTACGAGGATTTCGCGCCGCGAGCCACACACCGGCGCCGCTTTGCTTTTTCTTCTTGGAGAACCGTCCTGCTGCACGATTGAACCCTTTTCACGATGCCGATCAAGTCACACAAGCGCAAACGACCTCACGACGACTCCGAAGCCATCGACCCGCCTGCCATCACAGCTCCCCCACCCCCCACCACCGAAGCTACGACGCGTCGCGCAACGCGTCAGACTCCGATACTCCCTCCAGTGCCGCCACCACACGCATCGCCGCCGCGACCGGCCACAATCCCAGCTCCCTCGGATGCTGAATCGCCTGTGCAGACGAAGCGAGGACGAGGAAGACCTCCAAAGCCGAAAACCACGACAGACACTCCTGTGCCTGTTCCCATCAACCCTGGGGTCGAAACGGTTACACGAGCTGTCCCACCCTCCGCACCGAGCACCCAGCCTGGGCCAACGCAGCAGCAAACGACACAAGCACCGCGCGTTACAAGGCAAAGGGGTGCCAGCATGGTGGCCATCAACCATCAGCCACCCCTCGCCGTCAAGGAAGCAAAGGAGAATGTCAGACCAGCGAATGGCCTTGTTGCGCCGCAAATCACCTACCAGGCACCTCAACCACAGTCACAGCCATGGACGAGAACCCTGATGCGACCCAGCCCACCCACGAGCCTGCCGCCCTCACTCCAGCCCCAACCCAGCGTGCCGGACAGCAAACAGCAGCTGGCGCGGGTGCGCGATCCCGCTCCCTATCAGTACCCGACGAGACCGACCAACACGCCGATCCCCGTTCCAGCCATCACGCATACCTCTCCACGAACGCCGTCTGCTCTGCCCCAGCACCCCACGAAGCAAGAAGCCCAGAAGAAGACGGCCATGCCGACGCCGAGGACAGACCGCAACATCGACAAGGTCGTCCTCGGCGACATCTGCTTCCGCACGTGGTATCCTTCCTACTACGGCAAGGAGCTCCTCGGCGACATCTCCTCCGGCCACGCCAGCAGCAAGCCCAGCCACGCGCAGCATTCAAACGGCGGCAAGGACGGACATGGCCAGCATAACGCGGGCGAGGCTGGTGCCAAGGCGCACGCCCGGCGCGGCGGCGACGCGCCCATGCTCGACCGGCTGTACGTGTGCCCGTGCTGCTTCAAGTACTCCAAGGAGCTGGTGTCGTGGCTGGGCCACGTGCACGTGTGCGAGCGCAGCGCGGGGCCGCCGCCCGGGCGGAAGATCTACGTCCACCCTCGGGGACGCCGGACGGTGCTGCGGGCTGTGCCGGAGGTCAAGCGAGGGCCGGGGAAGAAGGCGAACGCCGGCATACGGCACGTCGAAGAGGTTGTGCGGGATCAGGGTGAGTGGAGTGTGTGGGAGGTAGACGGGGAGGTAGACGGCGTGAGTTTCCGCCATCTTTTCTTGGTCCCCTGGTTTGGATGAAGACGTGGCTAACAGTGCTGCAGCTGTTCTGTCAGAATCTCTCCCTGTTCGCGAAGCTCTTCCTGGATAACAAGTCGGTCTTCTTCGACGTCACGGGGTTTACCTACTTTCTGCTCGTCTACACCCCACCTGCTCGGCCGCCAACGGGCCCGCCTGGCGATCCATCGCAGCCCGCCGTCGACACGTCCGACGAGAAGCCCGTGAGGCCGCACATTGTCGGCTTCTTCTCCAAGGAGAAGATGTCGTGGGATAACAACAACCTCGCTTGCATCCTCGTCTTCCCACCATGGCAGCGCAAGGGCCTCGGCGCTCTGCTGATGGGCGTCTCCTATGAGATCAGCCGCCGCGAGGGCGTCCTCGGTGGGCCGGAGAAGCCCATCTCCGACCTCGGGAGGAAAGGCTATCGTCGGTTCTGGGGCGGCGAGATTGCGCGATGGCTCCTGGGCATCGGCGGCATCGCTGGTGTGTTTGACAGCAGCGAGGAGACGCTGGTGGACGTGGGCGACTGCAGCAGGGGGACGTGGATCGCGCTCGACGACTGCCTCATCACCCTCAGGGAGATGGGCTTGCTGCAGGATGCTGGCGTTGGGCCGGGAAAGAAGCCCGAGGTTTCCCGCCCTGCTGCGGGTGACGATGGAGACGGGGCTATGGAGGACGTCGGTGATGCTGGAGAGCCGGAGCCCGTGCCTGATGTGCCCAGGGTGAGGCTCGACAAGGAGGCTGTTCGGGGCTGGATCGCAGCAAATGGCATCAGTCTGGAGAGGGTCTGTGACCCGCATGGATTTGTCGAGGGCTACGCTGTGAAGCAGGGCTCTCCTGAAGAGGAGGAATATGCGTGACGAGCGCAGTGTATAGTCGGAGGAGGTTCCTGCATGATTTATGAGATACCCCAGTGCGGTGTGCCATGCATGCCTCTGTTACAATATTGAACAATTGTTTTGGTATACTTGCTGTTTGTCAGTCCAGTGGCTCCTTTGGTGTTCGGCTTTTCTTGGCTCGCTTCATGAGTCCACTCTTCTATGAGTACAGCAATACTACTTTCGGGATTCTTTTATGCTTCTCATTCTCCTTTGGGATAGACTCTTGCACTAGGTTTCGGTCAACACCGCTTTGGACCATAAATTGTCTTGTGATCGTTTAACCAAGATATTTGGTCGGAGATGTCATTGTGACTTGGACCTGTTGCCCTATGTCAGTAACTCACTAGTCCTTCATACCCTTTGCACCCATTATGAAATACGAGTGACAATGCTGGCCATTTTGGATTACGCATCTGGCAAAGGCCATGACCCGAGAGTTGAGGCCATTACACAGCGAGACATACTATGAGCTGCCAGTCAATTCAAGAAGTGGGTAGCATATGGAATACATCTGCAAAGCTTGATGGTCGGAATCTAGGGGCAGCGGGCTGGTGCACCTCATCTCCCTCCAATAGTCCTACCGGCACCAATCTCGGTCTTTCTCAGAGTTCCGGTGATCTGACCAAGTATACCTCTCGAAATGGTCACCGTACCGAACTCACGGGTAGTGAGGTTGCATAATGTATGTCAATCAGCGCAGGTGTATAGTAAGTCAGGTAGATTTCGACGTTTTGCACACATGCACCTTAATTCCCACGACATGCTCGGGAACATATTCTTCAACGAGATACGCCTAATTCCCAACATATCCTCTACTACCCAATTGATTATGCTCACGCACTTCGTTTGCCAACGAACATGCGCCAAATATCAGATATATGGCCAAACCAAGCCAAAAGTCCCACCACACAGACCCCACCACTACTGCGTTAAACCCCTGACCCCTCTTTCTCACAACAGCACCCTACGTCCCACGCAAAAAACTCACGATACTAACGCCGTCCGCTGCGGACCTATTCCCTCCGTCTTCCAACACACCACCCCGACATAATGCTTGCAGGCTTGCTTAGTCATAACGTCAAGCAAACGCGCCTCGTTGGCTTAGTGGTAAAGCGCATCACTAGTAATGATGAGATCACTGGTTCGATTCCAGTACGAGGCAGTAGAAAGTGGCCCTTGGATGTGAAAGATCAGCTTTTGTCTTTTGCTGTCAGTCTGTCAGCGTTGAGACTTGCGCTGAGCGCATGGTGTACATGGTGAGGGGTTGCCACAGATCGGCCTTTCGGGACCGGTCAAGGTGAGAATTGGCACCCGGATGACAGATGCTCTTACGGACTCGTTGCATATTTTTCCGCAACAAAAACCCCGTCGTAGAGCACATTGGCATGAAATTATACCCCTCTGGCCACGCAAACGATGTTGGGCAAAGAGAGCACGTGACACTCACCGACTGACCGACAGCAAAGCCACACCGGATAAACAGCCGTCTCCCGCATCCTGCTCACCAGCCCCAACCCGACAGACAGGTTCAATCGGGGCCATGCGCGTGAGGGGAACAGTCTCCAACTCCCATCCCTACACTGCACGGCTAAATCTCTCTCCCCTTTCCCCCCTCTATACCAAGCCTTTCAACGACATGCCATCAAACCCTCACGAACGAGGCTCGATTTTTCTCCCATGACACTGCCAGCCGGCGAAATCACCACACACACCCCCGACATCGCACGCCAAAACGGTAGCAGGAAGGAAAAACGGAACAAGCAACCAAAAACGGCAGAGTCATGATGCCACCGGTGGATCCCGCCCGCCCGACCCGCAACGCGTGGGTTCGCAATGGATCCCCCAGGTCCTGGTGATAAGCCCGCGAGTCCACTGAGCGAGGTTGAAAGCGAGAGAAAACGGGGGCGCGCGCAATGGGGCGTCTCCACGCTCGCGCCCCCTTCGCCCTTTCTGCTTGTCACTACGAGGGTCCTCCTGGTCAAGGGCAAGGGAGCGGACGGGTTCCCCGGATGGATGAAGACACACAAAGACGATGGAGTACGCAGTGGAATGAAGCAAACGAGGGGGGAGGCAGAGGAAGACGAAGGAGATATGTGCAGGCTTCCGTTGGATGGTCGAGCAAGTGCGACACAGCAGCCACTGGCACGAACTCGTACCATTGCGAAAGAGGGAGCAACAGTCGCACCGCATGAGAGAGGATGGCTGACTGTTCCTCTGCTGCCAGCCAGCCATCCACTGCCGGCATGCCACAGGCGCGGCAAGTGCGCGAATTGGCAGAGCACGTTGAATCGACGCCGCTCGCGCTCTCTCCTTCTCTCCGCCGAGTTGGCCGAGGGAGGAGCTCGGGGGGCGGAGGCTACGCAGCGACAATCGGTTCCAAGGAAGTAGACAGGAGGGGGGCAAACTTGGGTGCTGACCCTGTTTACCCCCCCTGCTCCCTGGACTGACTGACCCCAGAGTGTGCCCGTCACAGTCGTCCCGTGCCCACGATGATCAGGGAGAGAGCGACTGTGGCCACGATGCGCGCCAGCGAGACTGGTTAGACCGCCCACTCACAAGCGCCCTCACACTCTCCGCATCTTCCTCCTCTCCCTCGTCTCTTTTTCCCGCCCCCTTCCCGTCTGAACAGATTGCCAATCACACAGGTCAATTGAGAGCTCTCTGCCTGAGCTTCTCAGACTCGATTCAAGAGTGGATATCTTGCCGATTGGACATGAATTCAATATCTGGGGAAGCATTTCAAGTGAAACAAGCAAGCTTTGAGAGCCAAAAACGTAGGGGATGAATTTTTTGTTATTTTTACAAAAGAGGTTTCCCCCGAACTCTCGCTCGGGGCAAAGGGGTTTGGTTTGAGGGAGGCGGGAAAGAAAGCTTTCACCCTCCCACGTTTTTTCCTCAGTAGTCATCCATCTATACAACAAGGCCCAGGAAAGACCTCTTGTCATCTCAGCGATGACCCTCCACCATCCTCTCCTAAAGAAAAGTGTCGTACCCTCCGGTTGTCTATCCCGTCTATTACTCTATGTGTCGCTATGCGGGGAACAGCAGCGCTGTGGGACGTCCGATCCTGGGCGGTGGACGATTCGGGCACAGTGCGGCCTGCCGGAAGCGATCTGACTTCACGACATTGCCACCACCTCGCTCATATCGGTGTGCGAAACGCTTAGGTCTGCGAGCCTGGTTAGACGGCTGTTCAGGTGTCATGGGGGACTAGCGGACAAAACGTACGAACTTGGCCATGAGGGCAACCATGAGGTCGAAAAGACCAATGGCCTCGACGAAGGCGAAACCCAGAATGGCGTAGGAGAAGAGCTGGCCACGGAGAGCAGGGTTGCGGGCAACGCTGTTGAGGAGGGCAGCGAAGACGAGACCGATACCGATACCGGCACCAGTCAGACCGATGGCGGCGGAACCCATGCCGATGTTCTTGGAGACCTCGACCATGGCCTGAGCAATCTCAGAGGAGTAGGCACGCTTGGCCTGGGCGTTCTGGAACATGCGGCTGGCGTTGGCCTTGAGGGTGACCTGGGGGCGGGCGCTGGAGAAGCCTGGAGGAGACTGCCGTCAGTAACGCTGCTCGGCAGAGCGTCTGCAGTCCCAATTGGGACCGAAGATTCTCATCCTCAAAGATTTTCACTCACCAGTGATGGTGCGCTTGGAGGCGGCCATGGGGGCGGCGCGGACGGCAGGGCGAGCGGCCTTGGTAGCCATGGACGAAGCCAGGCGGGAGGCGAGGACACGAGTGGAGGCCATTTTGTCTGATGGGGAGGAGTGATGTGGAATAGACGGGATGGAGAGGAGAGGCTTGCTGAATTGGAAGGAGAAAGAGAAGGAGAGATAAAGCTCAAGGTCTGGATTGGAGGTGAGGTAGGGTGGAAGAGAAGAAGAGAAAAATGATCGGGGAGGGAGGAAAAGCTCGAAGCTCGGTAGAGCGATAGGGCAGGGGGGTGGCCGGACCGCGGGAAGGTGGCCCAGGGCGAAACATCATAGGCCGGTCGGATCAATCAGGGCCCTGCTCGCCCAAGGATTAGTGTCTGTTGAGCGGACTGAGGCAGACGTTTTTCCATGCCGGGCGGTGGGTGGACCGCAATGAGCGAGGCGATGGAATCCACAGACGAGACATGATATGGGGCCATCCGTTTCGCTCGTTGAATTGGCTCAGATGGTGTTCGCTCGCTGACTCGGGCAATATCGGGACGGCGTCATCTCAGAGGGAAGCCTTGGAAGCCTGAGGTTCGGTGGTACACAGAATTCAGAGCCTGAGGTTCACTGGAACGCTTGGCTGGTTGACACGAATCATGCAAGTGGGTTGGCGGATTTGGACTCGCGCAAGTTTTTCTTATGGCCCAAGTTGCCAGATAAGAAATTTAATGCACTTGCCCACCAGCTGGTACCCAAGGCTGTGCGTGCGACACTGGGCTTCTCTCAAATATAATTGAATAGCAACTTTGCCAGAGACGCAGGCTTTTCCTTCGGATGGCATCACTGAGTCCTTGCTAGTTGCCCGGGCTTCATTGCATCAGGAGACCAGCGCAGTCCCTAACGGTTCGAAGTTGCGTCAAAAAAGAAGGCATCAGATGTTGACCCCCACAGCGATCCTCAGGCAGCCCCCACTATGAGGCGCAAAACCCAATCCGAAGAGCAGATGCAAAAGTGACGCTCACACGTGGGTGGGCCCTCCCCTGCCTCATCCCTGCGAGAGCCGAACCAGACGAGTGGGACCGCCATTTTCGAGCTGGAAGCCGTGAGGGATAAAAGGGGGACGACGAGACGCCGTTCGAAGGTTCTTTGGAAAGGAGAGGTTTGGTTCCTGAGAGCTCGTCTCTTCGTCTTCGACTTCGACAGTCTTTGTTGCATTGGCGAAGGTGGTCAGTTCGAAAACAAACTTTCATCGTCAGTACCTCGGACATGGCGTCAGCCAGCCGACGCCTGGATGAGCTCATGGATTGCCCCTGGCATGTCGCTACGTTAGATCCCGGCCGGTCGCCGAAATCTCTGCCGACGCTGCAACGCAGTGCAGTGCATCCTTACCTGCACCGCGCTGCTGGGCGCGGCTGGTTCACTGAATGACTGAGCAACAACCTGGCTGGGTCGGCTTGGCTTGCTCACCCAGCTGGGCAGCACGTGTGTTCCGCCAATGAGTGCGCGGGACCTCGGGGGCTTCCCTTTGGGCCGATCCTCCGAGGTCTGAGAGTGGCCGTAGGAGATGAGCGACGAGCGAAACGGGAAAGCAAACAGCTGGCGGGAACATGAGGAGATTGGGTGCGGGTCCTGACTCGTCCGAGCTTGTCTCGGGGGGAAGCAGAGTTTTCCAAGCCAGGCCAACAGATCTGTCACCTCGATCAGGAAAGAAGTGAGGTGCCTGAGGCTCTGCGGCTGGCTGACACAACCGTGTCAGAGCACCTTACCTTATTGTAAAATGACGCAGCTCGCGTTTCTTGTTCCGTACCGTGAATGACGGTACGCTCATCACCCTGAAGCGCTCCGATGTCGCCCTTGTCGATGTGATTTGGCCAGAGAAGCAGATGCAATCCAGTTGCTCGACAACTCGAGGCTGTTAGGTGTGCACACCGGTTGATCGACGAGCGAAGACTATTCGACGACAAGTTATAGTTGTGGCCTTCTCGAGCTTGTCTGACACGAGGCCGCGATCCGGAAACCGCCCAAGGCCTGATGACGTGACTCTCATGCTGTCAGGTCGAGGTTGACAGTGAACCCCCCACGGGCTGCCAGCTCGCAACAGCCAGCTGGCCAAGCCTGTTCAGCTGTCGAAAGGGGGTCTTGGTGTTTCAACGGAAGAAGGAAAATGGAAGAAAGGAAAGATTAGCGACGGTTCCTGCAGATGCCTGAGGCCATTGGCTGGCAGATTGATGCAACCTTGACTCCCAGGGATTGGACATGACGGCCACTTTCGGGTCCACCGACCCGGCGGGTAAGACCGGGAATTGCGCCTCTGGAATACGATCTTCGATTTCAGCACAGGTGGTGGCTAGACGCGAATGCAAGGTCTCAAAATGCTATTGTTGAATGCCAAAGCTTTTGGTGATGTTGGTCTTCATCCTATTCTTGTTCCGTGTTTCTTTGTAGCAAGGCGTCTGAGGCACCTATTTACTTTACCTTAGGTAAGGTACTTTAGGTAAGGTGAAATCAGGCAAGGACCCAGTGCATCGTGCTTTCTACAATCAGAGAGTCGGTGGTGCTTGCTTGTAGGAAAGCTCCAAAGGACGTCTGCTCACCAAATCATCCCGTTTTCTGCGTTTGTTGCCTTGATAGGTACCTTCGGTTGTAGCAGATATGAAAGACCGAAAGGGGCTATGGAAACGCATCACTTACTGCATCCCAGTCACACAACATAGCGGCCGATTTACAAATCCCCCAACCACGTTTCTGCTACGACGATATAGAGTCTATCATGCTAGCTCACTTCCTTGAACACGCCTGTCGGTGGTTGCCACGGCTGTGTCCCGATGAGACCATCCATCATCAATCAGCATGGCTGTCTTCACCTGGTCTGGATATATATCTCTTTAAGGCCACGAAGCAGAAATCTGTTGCTGGCCCCTGAGTTCCCACTCAGCACTAAGACATGCTCGGCAACCCTGGCGACACCCCCTGATGTCGTCAAGCCGGGCTTGAATGATTCCAAGTCTCTGGCAGAGGACAGGATGGCTGCCACACCATCCAACTGGCAGAAATGCTCGAACTTGTGGTGGCTATCACCAGCCGGAACAACGAATGCTTCATCAACCAACCTTGAATACCTGCAATACTCGTGAGGCTCGTCTCCCAATCTCTCGCGTCCTCATCATGCAACGGGGGCTCAGGCTCTAATCCTCGCTTTCAAGTAAGATGAGGTCAGGCCGGTGGCATGAGATGTCATGCCATTCGGCCATGCTGCTTGACGGAGGAGTACCTGCCTGTTCGCACCTAGATCGCCAATCATTCCTCATGATATCTCATCGTTGGATCGAACTAGCCGCTGCTTACTGGCGTCAACATCGCTGCTTGATCTTCAACCTTTAACTACAGACTGAGCCACGTCGAATGTGCTTTGTCTCATCACATGGCAGTCCACGGCACCTCACATACCGACCAGCTATGTGTCCATACTCTGCCCGTGATGGCTAGGTAGCATGAAAACATCATCAAAACATCATCGAAAACCGCGATGAAGCAGACATGCCTGGGTCAGTGTCTAATGACTGCTGGGTTCTATTGCTGCACCGAACCCTGTATAATCGTTTTGCTCTAGTTCCTTCCCTCCAAGACGAGATTCTTATCTCCCCCTGTGAAATACGTCTTGAGGTTCTCTCCAACAACTCTCCTCACATTCAGCCTCGTCGTGTCTGCGCACCAGGCAAGATGCGGACTTAGCACAACGTTGAGCCCGTCCTCCTGAATCTCTTTTCCGAGCAGCACGCTGTCAGCTCCTGAGCCCGCAGGTTCCGTGGCAAAAACGTCCGTCGCGACACCATACAGCCGCCCCTCACGCACAGCCGCCAGGAGTGCTGCCTCATCGATCGTGCCGCCGCGACCGACATTGATGAGAACGGCGTTAGGCCGCATCGTTGCAATTTCCTCCGTCGCGATGAAATTCACCGTTTCCGGTGTGTGCGGAACGACGACGAATATGACTGTCGCGGTGCGGAGGACGTCGGCAAATGGGGTCCGGCCCGCCGGGACAGGCAGAGCTTGGTTTTTCCGAGCAGCGACGAGAGTCGGCATGCCGAGGGCTTTGCAGAGAGTCTCGATGCGGCGACCTGACTGTTGTCAGCGGTCCCTGGTATGATGGCAAGATGGTGGGTGAAATCGCGCTCGAGGCAACACATTCGGCCCAAATGCAAGAAACACCACAATTACAAGGGAAACCTACCGATGGGCCCGTAGCCGAGGATACCGACAGTCTCGGTTTGGCAGGTGTGTGGCGGGCGACCCTCGGAGTCGCGGAGGAGGCCGGACATGGTGCCGCTGGTTTTCCATGTATTCGGGGTCGTTGGCGTGTAGGTCGACATGGCGTTGGTGAGGACAAGCAGGCGACGGCGGAGGGTAAAGTACTGCGTCGATTAGCTGCTTTGATCCTTTTCATGCCATGTCTGGCAGATGAGGCATGAAGCTGTAGGTGGGAAGTAGCTGACCATGGCCAGAGCGTGTTCAGAGACGGCCTCCAATGTGGCATCTGGTGAGTAGAAGACAGTCACGCCGCGGCGGCGGCATTCGTCAAGGTCAATGTGGTTCGTGCCGGTTGTTTCTGTGATAATGCATTTCCTATACCACGTAAGACAAATCCAACTGTCACAGGCAGGGGCTAGTTCAGTGATCCCAGTGAAGGCACTTACAGGTGAGGGGCCTCTCCGAGAGTATGGGCGTTGACAGGCACCATTGTCGTGATGAATATGCTTGCCTCGTGGAGCCTTGCTGCGATGAGCTCGTGCGCTGTCGCCGGTGTGTAATCGTACACTATAGATTCGTGTGTGTAGGGCGACGAATCAATCTCGGGGGCATCAACATGTATCGCCTCAAGCTTGACGATGACATGATGCGTGTCGCTCGGGAGCTTCTTGGGATGGATAATCTCTGCCTGGTTCGCCATGATGAGTTACTTCTGATTCAATCAACTCTGTAATAATTGCTACAGGCAAGGTCATGAGATGTTTTTGTCAATATCGGCGCGCACGTATATTTATTCTGATATGTTCCAACCTTCCACTGAGAGCTGCTCCCCGATTCCGGACCGACCGGCTTCGCCTCTTGCGATCCAGGGACAACATCGGCGCGGGGGGCGTCTGCATCTGCCACGGAGGAATAACACTAAAGGTCCACATGGCAATACGGGAGGCTACAAGCCGCAATGCGTCAAGAATCTTCAGTGGACGTTCCCACGTTGCCTTACCCGTGGTGTTTGTCATTTTTCGTATTACCTGGTTGCTGAAGTCTGATTTTGTTATTGTTCAATAACGATGCAGCCACCAGAAATGTCGCGAAGTGTCAGCTTTTGGGCATCTTCGTTCTCTGGGCCATCCTGCCCCGTGATCCTTGCCACCGAAGCCAGACGGCGGAGAATTGGATCTTATCCTTCCGACCATCAATGATACACCTGCTTCTAATGATTCTGGACGAGACGTGAAAGTGCATCGCATGAGGCCACGGTATCCTTTAGCAAATACGCAGGTAGCAAGTCCTCACCGGAACCCGAATTAGAATCGAACAAGGCGCAAAGAATGGCACGTGATGACCTCGGATCGCGCAACAGGGCATGGTCCGTGTAAGTCGCTTTCTGGCGCTTTCGGATGATGTTGCGAGTTCCGCTTCGCTTTGTTGAGCCGACAATGTGTGAACACCTAGCGGCTTTGGCTGAGAGTTTGGGCAATCTGAGACTCGTCTCGCGTGCCCTGCCAGCAACCAATTGCCTGGCATGGATTGCGCTGCGCCCAGCGCTGCGACCACCTACTGAGTCGTGCCGGCGGACGGGGGCACATACAATGCTTTCGTAGCTCTGATTATTGAGAGGTTTTCGGAGGTGTTGACTGGTGGAACTGAATGAGGTTCACGAGTAAGACGGTCCCCTCGTTACATGAGGCAGCGAGCGGACTTCACAGCTCATTCTCACAATCTCACCTATAGTGCTACTGAATCGAAGTCCCCAAACGAGGAGTATTGGGGCAAAGTTAAAAATCGTAGGGCGCGCGCTCGCTTTCGCGTAGACATCCTCTATAAAGAGGCGTCTGCTTCCCTATGGATGCCGTTCTCCTTGCCTCCAGGACATCTACACCTGTCGTTCTACACTCATCTCCGGCTCTCCCTTTCGATAGAGTAGATATCCAATCAGCCAACATGCATCTGCAGTCGACTCTTGCCTTCCTCCTCACCCTCGCCGTGGCCACGCCGGCCCTGGCGCAGTGCAGAGGCGCCATGACCAAGACCGAGATCAAGTGCCTCTCGGAGACCACCAATGGAAAATGCGACGAGTCTCGCCTGACCAGCAGGTGTCCTCCAGGCCAACGGACAAACTGGCAATTCATCCAGAATCGCTGTTATGTGATTGGAATCTGCGAGTACCAGGTGTGTACCCATGACGTCCCTGATCATCGACTGGGCCTCTTGTCGCATGCCTCACAGTCTCGACGAATTCTGCTCGCGAACACTGACGATTCTAGTACAATTGCTGCACGCGGTCCTAAAATCCCATCATGCTCCGCTCCTTTCTCAAAGACAAGGGCTGGAGTCCCTGCATTATCTTCTTGCGGTGAGCGGTGGCACTTTCGCATCAGTGCCGGCGCCGCACTACGTACATATTTTTTGATAGCGACACACCCAATGTACAAACTAGTATATTCTCAGACTCTGCGTTGAGAAGATTTCACCTTTGTGACAGTAGATTAGTGTACAATGGCTTCAGGTCTTGTTTGGTGGTGCTAGTGGTGCTGGAGCAAGTGAAAACATGTCCGTCACTACACCCGCATTGCCACTGTGACTATGGGTCAAGCGAATGGCTGATAGTGTTTCTCGAGCCTACATGACTTGCCAAACCATGTTCGCTTTAATTTTATCCTTGTAAAATAGCCTTGCAATTCGCTGCCCTTCCTGACTGGGTATCATACACTCCACCACATGAAGCTTCCTTGCTCGATAGCTATGGAGTGATCATAAGAAACCGTGATTTGACCGAACCCCGACGTACACGCATATTCCAATCGATACAATAGGGGCCAAGTACCCCTTTCTCGATACATTGGCTCGCTAGCTGTCTAAGTCTTCTGTCAACAACTCGGGCCATCAATTATCAGAAGTTGAGGAACTCATCGAAATTCGACTTGTGGTCTGCCGTACTATCATATCAAAATAAGGGCGTCGTTTGAGCTTTTTTGACAAGACTTGTGGATCCTCGGGGTGGATTACTATTCACTCAAACATATCATCATTGAAACCTCATGAATCGACATCTTGTTGAGCCGATAAAAGCCGCTGTTCATTTCATCCAACCTCCGACTACGGTGCGAACCCAGGCTCTGGCATGATTTCAGGCGATGGCGGTGTACCGCTGACAATCCTCACTTCCTGAACGTCGCACTCCTGTTTCCATGCAGAGGCGGCGCCTTCCGAGCCCCCTTGGGCCCATCCTCGCCCGTCTTCGAGTACGGGTCGAACCTCTCCTTCTGCACGCCTCCGCCAGCGTTGCGCCCCGCATGTAGTACCGAGCTCGCGTTGCTGTAGTCAAACGCCTCGGGCGCGCCGGCCGCCGCCTTGGCCGCCTCCTCCTCCGCCTTGCGTGCCGCCTTGGCCTGCTTCTTCGCCTCCTTGGCCGCCTTGCGCTCGGCCTTCTCGAGCTTCTTCCGCTTCTTCTCCGCCTTGTCGGCGCCCTCAAAGTCCGGCTCCGAGGCCGAGGCCGACTTGCGGCCCGTCTTGGCGTCGCTGCTCTCCTCCAGCTCGTCTTCGCTCGCCTCGGCCTGTGCCTTCTTCGCAGCCCGTTTGGCTGCTTTGCGCTGTAACTTGGCCGTCTTGCGTTCCTTCCTTTCGCGTTCGAGCTTGGCTTCCTCGTCCTCGATTTCGATAGCCTCTTCCACATCGGACGAATCCTTGTCGTCCTCGTCCTCGTCCTCGTCTTCAGAGCTGGAATCACTCTCCTCCTCCTCCTCTTCGACCTGCTTGCGTTTCAGCCCACTCCTCAGCGTGAACTCCCGGTCGGGCTCCTCCTGCGCCGGAGCAGCTGGCGCTGCAGATTCGGGTTGCTTGTCGGCCATCTCCACGTCTTCGGATGTTGACAGAGCCTTGTGTCCCGCTTCCTGCATGATCCTCTGCCACGGCAGCAGCACGTACCCCTGAGGCCTGCTCGTCAGAGAGGCCTCCCACTTGGAGCTGATCGGGACGTCGCCGAACAGCTGTGACCGGCTGAGCTTGCCAGACTGAACATCATCAGGGACGTCCGCCGCCCGCTCGCTCAACTTCTGGGTCGCTCGCCTCGTCGTTGTCGAGGAGCTGGTGTCGTTCTGGAAGAATCGAAGCAGGCTCTGGCTGTCGTCGCCCTCGTCGCGTCCCTTCTTGAACGCCGCCCAGATCTCGCCGACGTTCCTCTTGGCAATGATCGAGTTGCTGTGAATCAGGCTGTGCAGCGCCTTGGCGTCCGGAGGCATGTGGCGGGCGATCTCGGCAATGGCGGCGTTCGGGAGCACGTAGCCGGTGCTTTCGTCGAGGCGGCGCGCCGTGTCGTCTCGCCACTTCCAGATGGCGCGGTATGCCGCGAACTGCTTGCCGGAGAGGGGCATGGGGTTCTTCAGCAGGACGCCGTACCAGCCCCTGGAGCCGTGGCCGGTCTCGGGGTCAAAGTCGAGGCCTTCGTAGCGGCTCAGAGAGAGCTCCTTGGACTTCTGCAGCACCTGCTGGATAATGTCGGTTTCGGGCTTGCTGCGATCTGACGCATCCAGGAGCTCGTTGCGGATCCTGTCAAAAATGTAGAGCAGATAGTGTGTATCGGAGCGTGCGTAGTAGAACATTTCTTCCGGCAGTGGTCTGTTCGTGTGTTAGAAGAGGGGGGATTCAAGCGAGACACTCGAGCAGTCTTACCGAATACGCCAGTCTGCCATTTGGTACTTCTTGTCGGCGTCGAAGTCAACGAATCGCTTGAGAAGGTATGCCAAACTGCGTTGGGGGTAGCCAAGAATTTCAGCGGCAAAGAACGTGTCGAAGAGTCCGTTAATGTAGAGACCAAGATCCCTCTGTAGCCACTGCATGTCCATATGCGCGCCGTGGAAGACCTGACTGGTTAGATACACGATGGGTGGGTTTTCTGCTCTGTCAGACTTACCTTGACGATTTTGGGATTGGTAAAGACCTCGTTGAGAACCTCGAGCTGGTGACGCCACGGCTTCAGGGTGTCGACGATCCAGTCTTGATCGCGGGTGCTGATCTGCATGAGCGAGAGGAGGCCGGCATATGTCCTGGTATCGTGATGTTCCAAATCCACCGCAATTTCCTTCGCCTTCTTGAGCTCCCCCAACATCTCGAGAACACCCTCGTACGTGTCGACCCATTTCGCAGTAGTGGATTTTATAGGGTGGTAGAGAATGGGTTCGGCCTTCTGGTAGACTCGCTCGGGGTAATTCGCTGCCAGGATTTCGGCTTCGTATGGGTGTTTGGAGCCAGATTCTGCCGAGTCTTTCGCCAGGCTTTCTTCCAAGGGCACGGATGCGTTAGGTTTCTTGGAGAGAACAGGCTTCCATGACGTGTTGTCGACTGCGCGTTCGAATTCGAGTTGGGGTTTGGCCATGTTGGCGTTCCTCATGTTGGAGGCAAGAGCGGTTCTGGGCTTCTTCGCGTTGGGAGTCTTTTCACAAGTCAGCGAACGATGCATAACAACATTGACAGAAATGAGCTGTCCTACCGTCTCTGTGGGCGCATCTTTCCTCTTCAGCACACCAGTAAACTCGTCAATGGACCGGTCTGCTTTCTCGAGCACGTTGTCGAGAACGTCGACAATCTTGCGCCAGTGCATGTCCACATCGTCGGCATCTTCAAGCTCGGGAACAGATCCCTGTCCACAGACCTCGGCAGCCGACTTGAGGAGTTTGTGGGAAAGGCCAAGCAGCCGCGCGGTCGTCTCATCGAGCTCATCGGCGACGGAGGGGTCGACGGTGCGCTGGAAAGCGAGGTCCTCGGCGGCGATGCGGTTGGCAGACTTGACGGTCGTGACGAGCGCCTTCTGCACCTCGTCCTGCAAGGCCTTGAAGTCAGGAGAAGCCATGGCGACGATGGCGGTCGTAGGTTGCGATGGGATCGTCCTTGTCAGGCTTTGGGAGTTGAGGTGGGCTGGGTCAAAAAATCGTAGCGCAAAGGGTCGACTTTCAAGTGCGATAAGATAACGTCTTCAGATTCTCCACTTATCGTGAGGTGCATCGATTTCCACGATGTTGACGTGCAACGCGGTGCGATCTCGACGCAGATCCCTTGCTTCTTGATATGGAAAGTCCGGTCTGTAGCCAAAGGTTCCGATGTGATCTCCCAAGCTGAATCGTACATCTCTCTAGCTGAATTGTATCGGAGGTTCAGCATGACTTGTGGCAAGATTGACAGACCTGTACTCAAGCCCGAGCCAGCCGTTGTAGAGGTACGTACCTCGAAGCTTCACCACGTTTTAGTGAGCCTCAGGAAGCCTGTGTGACCTGGCTTTCGCCTCCCTCACTCACCTTTCCATCCATTGCGATAACCCAGCTCAAAATGTCTGCCTCTCTTGCGCCCGAGTGCAACGAGGTCAAGGAGTAAGAAGACTTGATCCTGCAAGAAGCCATGCGAAGCTTACAGGGAACAGACGATACGACACGTGCTTTCTGAAGTGGTACAGCGAGAGTAGGCCCAGTCCCCTTCACCCCTAGGCCTGCGCATTGCATCTCACACAGCACACCAGAGTACCTGCGAGGCGTTGGCGCCGACAACAATGAGTGCGCGGATCTCTTCAAGAGCTACCAAAAGTGCTTGACGGTTGCGATCAAGGAGCGCGGCATCGACAAGCTGGTGGAAGAGTCGAGGGAAGACAACAGGGAGAATGACGCGGCATACCTGGGTCGCAAGTGTAGGTTCACAACATTCTTGGCAGGCAGCTTGCATCTGACATGGTTCGCAGGACGGCACGTAGGTCGGCTTTACTTGCATGGAAAAAGGAGTATAGGGTTTGCATTTTTGACACACTTCTCATCGCACCCCAAGGGCATCCAGCTTGTTGATGTCTTCAGGATCTGGTCTCCTAGAAATACAAAGTCGGGATTTCATGCAGCGTGGCCATGTGTGCGCGTGCAAGAAACATCGCGTGGCATGATCAATGATACATTGATGAAAAGAAACTATGTTCACCCCTTGATTGATTCGCCCACTCAACTGCTGGTTTCTGAGGTCCCGCGGCGCCGCAACTCAAGCCAGAAGGCAAACAGGACATTATGGCAACATTGCACAGCATTCCACCCCCATCACCACACGTGACTCTCCCTAACAGGCCTTGAGCTATCCCCAAGAGCCAAGAGGCCCCCTGGAGAGAGAGAAGCCTAAGGTCAACGACCTGGGGCGCCAGTGCCGGGCCTTTTAGCGGGCCCAGATCCCTGGCGATCCACTAGAACGGTGGATCTGAACCATTTCGTTCCCGGGTGACGCCATTGGACACGCCTGAACACCTGCCCGCCGCCTGGTCTGGGCCTTGCACACAGGGGGGGGGCCCCAGCGGAGGTGGGAAATGGGAAATGGGAAATGGCTTCACCGGACGCACTGCTACCGCAGAATCGACGAGGAACCTGGGTTAAGTCCAAGTGGCCCCTCCCTCGACCTGAGACCCCTGGCGCTGCCGAACGCACTCGAAGCTTGCTTTCACCTCTGTGATACTCTCCCCTCCACGTTGGACTCGCTTGCTTGGACTCCGACAAACCACCACGACAACAACCTCCGTTGACGACACCTTGCTCGTTGTTCAACCCTCTCCCAAACGCCATCGAACTCGTTGCCCCCCTCCAAAAGGTGTCTCTCTTCCCCCGAGCTTTTCACTCGCACCAATTCCGAGCTTCAACTCCATCTTGGCGACCACATTCAAGCTCGGCATGCGATGCCCCAGGACATAGCGATTCTATGCACCCCCTCTCGGTCGTCAGCTTTGCCATCTTCGTAGCCGGCTACATCACCGCTCGATGGGACCTCGTTACGCGCCTCTATGAGCTTGCCATCTTTGCCTGGGACCACGGAGTCGTTGTAAGATCTACTTCCTCCCAAGACCTTGCCTGGTTCTCTTGCGCTGCTCTGCGCTGGGCTGCCCTGCATCAAATGTTCTGACCGTGTGCGCCATCGCAAACAGCAACGCGCCGCCAAAGGGTTCGCTCTCTTGACCCTCCTTTACTGCTTCATCTTCATACCCGTGGAACGTCTTGCGACGAGAGAGGCTACTCTGGTACGACCGAACCAACTGCTCCCCTCCCCTACCCCTGGACCTGATGTGTCCTCTTCCATGAGACATGTCCTGTGCATGTGCGACTCGCTGTCGATCTAAAAGCTTGCATGTGCTGACCAAACGTTTCGCGCAGCACCCACGATCTCCCGCCTCTGGCGTATCGGCTCGAGAACAACTACGTAGGCGGGGTTCTTTCTGATCGCGCTGCGCGAACTCGCGACTGTCATGCAAGGAAGCGATGGCTTGATGAGGATATTTTGGCCCACGGACATCCAGAGGTCAGAGCTGCCGGGCGTCGTTGTGGGTTGGCGCAACTCCCCTCTGGATGTCTTTGTCGTTGCGGTGCTGGACCACGTCGACGTAAGCATCCTCCGTCGCCCGTCTTTGTGCTTTCGGCATCTGCGCTGACAATGTGATGAACAGCCGGGCCATGTCGAGTTCGCCTTCAAGGTCGGAACGCTGTTCCGTAACTCCCCTCATCCCGTCAGCCATATCTACGAACGGTGCGGACATGCCTCGATGCATGTACTGGGACTGACGAACGCTGGCGATGATGTTGTGCTGGACCCCTTCCTCATCTCAGCCGTGACAGCAAGTGGCTGGAGGGTGCCGCAGATCACATGCGCCAAAGCTACGAGCATCCAGATCATTCTCTACGACCGACCTCTGCCCAGCAAGATGCAGTACATATCTTTGCGACCGATATCGCTTGCTCTCGGGGACAACGCGCCAAGTGCCGAAGAAGTCGAGAGCGAATTGGAGCACGAGCGCCTGGAGAACCGGCAAAAGGAGCAGAAGCGCAAGCTCGTCGAGAAGCTGAAGCAACACATCATAGTCAAGCGCTCGCCATCGTTGAAGGAGAAGGCATTGCCCAAGATCATCAGTCAGGTCAATTGGGCTTACGAGCTTGAGCGCCTTCTTCAGAAGAACGTTTCACGCATAGGAACCCGCCCTAAGCGAGCGCTCAGTGTGTCGGAGCGTGTGGCAGAGCACGCGGAGACGATGAGGAACTACGTGTGGGATCTCGTCGTGCTGTACCTGTTTCCTGTCATCCAATGGGGATTCGTGTACATGCTGATGGGGCATCGAGCCGTCGCCGAGGTGCTGCTGCGTATCCTTGAGTGGCGTGCGCGACCTCACTACGCGGCCCTCAAGGACATATCGGCAACTGCGCAGCAAGTTGAGATCCGGTTACAACAGTTTTGTTATTGGCCGATACAGTACAGGACACTTCGGCAGCGCAAGGACAACTGGGAGAGCATCACCACAAGCCACCCGGACTACATCCGCTTCTACAATAGCCTTTGGCTGGTCGCAAACGATGTCATCATTGGCATCGCCCTGGGTTCCTACATCATCGACAACGGAGAGTGGGTCGCAGGTACGATCGCGCAATTGCTGCAGACGTACACCGTCGAGGCCTTGCGGAGAAGCATCTCGTGGCTCATGGGTTACCCGGCTGGCCTGAAGCTCAACCGTGAGCTGGCTTTGTTCCTTGGCGACCTCTTTCTCTGGGTCATCGAGTATTGGTCAGGTATGCAGTGCTTGCTCACACGTCGAAAGGAAGCATGGCTAACAGACACACAGGGTGTATTGTTATTACCCAGAAGATGCTTCCACATGTCGTGTGGTTTGTTGGCTTCTCCAGTTTCGCCGGGGCGAGCATGCCAATCGCTGTGGTGTCCGACCTCCTTTCGCTTCTGACTGTCCACATACACTGTTTCTACATGGCGTCCGCACGCATTTTTCACTGGCAGCTGACCATCCTCATCTCGCTTTTCCATCTCTTCAGGGGCAAGAAACACAACATCCTCCGAAATCGTATCGACTCTTGCGACTACGACCTCGACCAGCTGCTCGTCGGCACCATCCTTTTTACCGTCCTCTTCTTTCTCCTGCCGACCGTTGTCGTGTTCTACCTCAACTTTGCCGTGGCTCGCATGGTCATCATCAGTTTGAAAGCGGTCCTCGACACTCTCCTATCCTGCCTAAACCATTTCCCTCTCTTTGCTCTGATGCTACGGGTCAAGGACCCTGGACGCCTGCCCGGTATGTCTTTCAAACTGGGATGCTTGTTTTTTCTAAGCTAATCATACCCCAGGAGGCATCCGGTATGAGCTGCGTAATACTGTCGACGCGAGGTCTCATCCCCAGACCTCTTCCCAAACCCCAACGTCCGTCATCTATCTCAAGGTCCGTCTCATTACAAGCCACTTGTGTAAAAATCAATCCAGTTGAATTACCTACTAACAGTGCACAAGCCCATACCCCTCACCTTCGGCGCCATGTTCCACCAGTATTTCCAGATGGGCAATCGCATCCGCAAGCACTACCTCTCGCCGCGTGTGCTCTTCTCCCTCCTCACAGGCCAATTCGTCCCGCCCATTAATCGTAGAAACCTGTATAGCTTGCAGTACAGCATGCTGCCGAATCAACGCCCAACCATTCGTGAGATGTGGAACGCCGTCACAGCACCATCACCAGGTGCGAAGAAACCGTTGCCCTTCATCGTCAACGGGCGGCGGTATCCCTCCGGGCCCGGCGGCGGCGGCCGAGCAAGATATCATTAGTTGTAATTAGAGTCGAAGCGATAGACATGAAGTAATGAAGCGTTGTCAGCATGCGTTGCGTTAGCATTCTATGGTGCCCCTGTTCTCAGAACCTGCATGCTTCTCTCCCTGCGTCCTCATCTTGCTCGCACGTCGTTGATCACGCGCACTTCCTCACCTCGGTCAGCCCGCCCCGCCAGTCCTCCCACCCGTCTTCAGCAACGCCAAACATGTAGCTCAGCACCATGTCCTCCGCCACGCCAGCCGCGCCACCATGCGCCGCACCGAGGCACTGCGTGCCGATGCCCGGATCAGCCTGCGTCGCGCGCACCCGGCCGCCGGGATCCTCCGTCCCCGGCTCGGCCGCCCCGTTCCACAGCCCGAAGAGGAGCCCGTCGCAGACCGCAACCTGCGCCTGCTCCGGCGCCAGCGTCAGTGGTTCTGCGCCGTAGAGGCGGGTGAAGGCTGTCGCGGCGTGCACGAGGGCGGCTTGGCCTGGGGCGTCTTGGGCGAGCGGGAGCGGGGCGGTGCAGAACCAAAATACCGCTTCGGACGCAGTCGTGAGGGGGTAGAGGGTTAGGGGGAGCAGGCTGGCAAGTCTCTGGTGCCGAAACGCAAGGTTAATCTACCGGTGGATGATGGTACTGTGCGTCAAGAGCGAGAGGCTCACCATTTTGCTTGTCATGTCTGCCTGGGGTTCGAGAGGTTATTCAAGCTTGAGAGGACGGAGACTTGGGGTTTGGGCATGAGTGAGATTTCGAGGCAGAGGCCGCGGATGCCTTTAAAGTACGAAAGAGGCCAGTTGCGTGAGATCTGATGCGATCCCGGGATACGGGTATGCATGCCATTTGGTAGGTCCTCGGGAGGCCAGAGCGGAAAGCTGGTTACGCGAGAATGCCGATACAGAAGAGTCGAGTGCATCATGGTGCTTCCGTCCATGTCGGATAGAGTCTGAGCTGTCACACGCGGAGCAGCTGACCTTCGATAGTCAAGCTAGGCATGATTCAAAGACTCTGAAAGCAATCAAGTGTTCATCACACTCAGTCTAGATAAGTGTTGAGGACCAAAGCACACATGTATTGGGCCGAATTTTGATGAAGACGGAGCCCTCGTCACACCAGGGCCTTCGCCTGTGAGAATCGTAGTCCATATTTGCTCAAATACGTATCCCTTTTTTCAAACAGTTGATCTCGAGGTCAAGAGTTACAATGATCTCAAACTAATGCAGGCACCCGCTGCCAAATCGCCTTGATCGGGCCACCGGCATGAAACAAAAACTCCCAGCCCACAGGGTCCTAGAGCATGGAGCACCACTACGATGACTAGGAAGAAATAAATTGGGACATGGCTCGGGAGGATTTCGGTCCTGTTGAACAGTTGCACAGTGCCACACTGCAGCACAACGTAATGATAGCAGCTTCGATTTGCTCACCCAGCCCTCGTCCTCGCCATATCTAGTACACGACGAGCGCACATAGGCAACCCGTCGAACCACGCACACGCACATCCCCTGTCCGAAGCAGTCGCACCTGTCATTCTCGTTCTCCTGCCTCGCGTCACCTCGAATCTTTCCCAACCGAATGATCTATTCCCTAAAGAGCCAGACACTGGAAAGCTGTCCTCGTTGACGGATTAAAGAAACGGCTCACGCAACATCGGTGGCTCGCGCATTCGAAGCAGGAGCGCAATTTCGTAGGTAACACAGAAAAGAAGCGTAAGAGCAATCACATGCCGTCAAACTCGCCGCCAAGGTCATCCTCGTCAAGGTCGCCCTCTTGGATTTCCTTTGCCATCTCCCTCTCACGCTCGCGAGCCTCTTGGGCATTCTTCAGCTCCAGGCGATGCTGGTTCATGGGGAAGCGCATGGCCTAGGTTTCGGATGTCAGTACATCAATCTTAGAAGCTGTGATTCAATCAGCTTACCTTGACGCTCTCGTCGTGCAGAGCCAAACAGGCACGGATTCGGTCGTGGAAAGCCTCGCCCGGCTCTCGCGTAGCATAGACGTCTCCAATCTCCTTGCTCTTCATAAATCCGTGCTCGCGATCCAGGGTAGCCTCGATCACACCATCGCGAATGGCTTTGGCGACAATGTATTCAGCCGACTCCTCGCTTCCGAGGTGGAGGCGGATGCAGATGTCCCGCAGCGAAATTCGGGAGTAAGACAGAGACATCATGCGAATGCCCGTCTTGATCACGTTTTGCCTCAAACGAAGGATCAGGGTGTAAGTGCCGTCCCGTCGGAAGACATCGGCGTGGTCTGCGATAATGGTCTCAAAGTCTTCGAGGTTACCGACGCGCACAGCCTGCACCAGCAGGAAGTACGGGTGCAGCGCTAGCTCCAGAGTAGGCTGACGGAAAGTTGACCGCTCAGGGATATCACCCATCAGCAGCTCCACAACCAAAAGAAGCTTCGTAGCGGTGGCTGAAAAGCCTGCCGCGCAGGCACTCGATGGCGCCTTCCTCGTCGCGGCAGTGAGATGCTCGTGTGCCTCGGTGTAGCGTAGCTGGACCGCGCGGATGCGCCCAAGATAGTACAGGAAGCGGGCAACCTGATTGTTGACGGCGTTCTCCGGGAACTGGGTGTGAGAGACGAGCAGATCAGCTTGAGAAATGTGAGACGTCAAGAGATAGTTGCGCAGCAGCAGAACAATGACCGACGCCTGTGTGTCAATGTCCTTGCGCAGCACTGCAGTACGCAGGGCAGCGAGGAGCGTTGGGCGGATGGCAACGACGGGGGACTGGGGAGAAGGCGGCTGGGGGTTGAGGTGCTCGCAGAAAAGCGAATAATAGAAATAGACCTTGGCAGACAGCGAATCCAGTGTGCGGCGGTTGAGGGATTGGATCCGATCCGAGAGGTACTTTGAGAAATCGGCACCACGCTGGAACTGCTTCGTGTCGAAGAGATGGACCTGGATCAGAATACCGAGGAAAAGGTCCACCTCGGGAATGATCTCCTTGACTTCCTTCTTGGAGCCGTTCTTGGTGGCGGCCTTTGAGACATCACTGTCGACCTCCATCTCCGAAGCAGAAGACTGGCCCAGTGGCAGACTCTCTCGACCAATGGCAATAAGGAGCTGTTTAGCTGCGTTACCAGATGTGACGGTCGCGGGAAAGGTTTCGACAATTGCTTGGGCGATGACGTCTGGGGTCAGGCGTTTACGGATAGTCGAGATTGACCTCAGCGCTCGGAGGGAGAATCGGGCATCGAACAGTGCAACGGCACGGTCGAGCAGCGCAAAGTTGCTCTTGATGTCTGTTGTAAACAAGTCGTCAGCACCAGCGTCACATGCACCGAGCTCGCAAAGAGCTACGTCGCCACATACCTGCCACGGCTTGGACGACAGGGTCAACCTTGACGGCGGCGTCGTCGGCGTTCTCTTCGTCACCCATAGCGACATCACCATCAGCATCCGGCGGTGGCAGAGTCGAGGACTGCTTGGTGCCCTTGGAAGGGGGGACCACAACCGTCATCTCCTCGTCGCCGTCCTTGGCGCCCTTCTTGTTCTTGGACTTTGCATCCTTCATGTCGACATCTTTGGTACTCCTGTAGCCGTTCTGGGTAGGCTTGTTGCCGTTGCTATTGGGGGTCTTTCCTGGCATAGTGACGGGGGCTCTTGGTTTTGTGAATGGCTTCTGGGTTGCTTGGTGACTCGATGATCGTGGCGAGTCGACTGCAAGGCGCGCCCGGCAGGAGGAGCTGGCTGCGTGTCACGATATCGGAGCACGTGTCTTCGTGGATAAGTGCGAATAGAGGCGCCTAGGCGTGCTGAAGGTAGTCAGATGCCGGGCGGTGGGGATGGGTGTCTGTCGTTGATGGGGGTTTGTTGTGGTGTTGGTGCTGTCGATGCTGATTTGTCTTGTGATGCAAGGCGATGGAACATCGAGCTTCAAAGATTGAGCCCAGCCAGGTCACGACAGGTGCGACGGGGGCGCGGTATTGGGGGTACAGGGCTGTGTGCGGTGATGGTGCCCAGCAGAGAGGTACTGGGTACGTACCGAGAGCTAGCGCAGCAAATTACTGGGGCCGGAACCAGTGGCAGTCGCTCCTGCTGTAGTGACCGTGGGTGACGTTGTCGATGTTGCCTGTCTGCCTGCCCAAGCTGTCTTGGCTGTCTCTCGAGAGCCTACTTACATAATCCGCAGACGTGGAGAGGCGTGTCTGGGGCACGATGCGATGAGGACGAAGCGTTTCAAGTGGCATATGTATGCGTATGTGATTGCATTTAGAATATACTCACAGATGATCGTGCGATCAGGCTCGCAAGTTATGCAGTTTACTGTCGCTGCCTTGCGGGGGAGAGCGATGCTAAGGAAGCACCTCCCTCCCTGTCCTCAAGTCGGTTCCTCCCTACCTGTAATTTCAAGCCGTAACGTGCGATGAGGCCAATATGAAGGTACTCTACAAACACAAGTCGAGGAACATGGACCTTCGGTGTTTGAAGATTGACAATGGAAGCGATCGAGACAGATCTTTCGTGATCGCACATTTCAACCAAGCACTGCTGAAGTAGTCGTTCTGTATTGTCAACATGATCTCTGGACAGTGCGTGTCACATCTTGTGTGGCGGTGCAGACAAATACCGGGCTCCTTCCTGACTAAGATGTGGCACTAGAGCCGCGGGGACTGTGGCATCATGCATCGACCAGGATGGCACACGGTCGCGTTCGTGACCTCTCGTGAACATTTCCCAGCTTCAATCAAGCATTCGACGATCACCGGAAACAATAATTTCCGTCATCAGTGGCAGCGCCCCCAGAATATCCTCAACCCCGATCTTACACATATAATCAACGAACGCATTTACTCTCGATACGGCTCACATCTCCGCGACTTCGCCAACCTACTTCATCACCATGAACACCCAGGGCCAGCCTGCGCCGCAGGGCCAGCCCCAGCCCAACGCGCAGCAAGGCGCCGCTGGACATCCTGCTGCCGCGAATAACCAGCGCTCAACAATGTACCGACCGGAGATGATGCGCAACCTACCAGTTCTCAATGATGAAGAGAAGCTCAAATATGAACGGGGTCTGAGGTCATTGTGGAACACGATGGAATCACACGGAGAGGAAACATCGGACCACCAGGACGCAAAGAAGAAGATCCAGGACTTCACCAAGATGCTCATGGGAAAGCTCCAGGCCCGCAGGCTTCAACAGATGCAACAAGCCCAGAAGCAGCAAGCCCAGCAGCAAGGTCAGGCTGGACAACAGACTCAGCGCAGCGCGCAACCGGCAGCAAGCGCATCGCCCGCACCACCTGCTCCCGCAGAGACGCCAGCCACGCAAAATACGGCAGCAGTAGCTCCAGATGCCCCCGATGCGCCAAAGGCGAACCCGGCAGCCTCTCTTCCGACGAATGTCAGTCCGGCGCCGGCTGCAAACGCGGCCGCTTCGGCTCCTCCCCAGGCTCCTCCCCAGCAACCTCAGCAGGCTCAGCAACCTCAGCAGCAAGTTCAGCAGCAGCAAGTTCAGCAGCAGCAACCTCCACAGCAGGCTCCTAAGCAGCAGCAACCTCCACAGCAGGCTCCTCAGCAGCAGCAGCCTCAGCAGCAGCAGCAGCAACAGCAGTCGCAGCCACCCAATGTTCCAGAGCACATCTTGAACCATATTCGGTCAATGACCTTCAACCCTCCGCCACAGATTGTTGAAAAGGGTCCGGAGATGGCCGCGAAGTGGAGCGCAGACATAAAGCAGCGCTACGTGCGTTCGCTAATGCAGATGGAGCATATGGGCAACACTCTGCGAAAGCTGAATGCTGCTGTCAAGGATAGGCAGGACAAGGGGAACCCTTTGGGTCCAGAGGAACAGAAGCAGATTCAAATTCGCAAAGACCACAGCCAGAAAGTCTTCCAAGAGGCCCAGATGTTTGTTCAAAACTTCAGGAAGACGCAGGAGATCAGCAAAGCCAACCCCAATGCACAAAACGCTGCTGCAGCGGCTCGTCCTGCGCAGCAGAACAATCCCAATGCACCTGGGGCTGCAAATGTTGCACAGGCTGCCCCTCAAGCAAGCGCCCCTCAGCCTGTATCAGGCACACAGCAGATTGCACAGCCAGCGGCGGCCTCAGCAGCTGTCGAGGCAGCGAAGATGCAGCAGATGAATGTCGCAGGCCGTGCTTCACCTGTCGCCAACGGGGTGACGACACAACAACAACAATCTCAACTGCCCCAGCAGCCTCAGGGTCAGCAGGCACTTGCCGCAAACTCACAACCTGCACCTCAAGCCCAGCCCGCCACGACTGCCCCGCCGCCGCAGCAGAACCAACACATTCAACCGCCTCCTGTCAACACTGCTGTTGCTTCCGTAGCTGGCACTGTTGGCCAACCACAGTCTGCAAGCACGCCCACGCAAGCCGCGGCGCGCATCCAGACACCTCAGACGGGAACGACCGGAGTGAGCACTCAGGCGCTCAGTCACTCTGCTGCCGTTTCTCGCGCGAACCAGAGAGTCAACTCCCAACCTGTCGCAGCCACGCCTGTCCAACCTAGCGCAGGCACACCGTCATCGGCAGGACCCATTAGTCAAGGTGTTATGGGCTCTGGCGCCATTGGCAACTCTCAGCAAGGACACCCTCAGCCTCACCCTGGTCAACCTACGCAGCAGACGCAAACGCTGCAATCAAAGCTCCCCATACCCAAGCAACTGCCCGAAAAAGCGACCCAAGTGCCGCAGCCGGTCAACATGGTCAACAACGCTGGCGCCGGTCGTCCCACTTACACCGGCGGCACTGGCATCGCCGGTGGTGTCATGGGACACCCTGCCCTGGGCAAGATTCCGGCCTTCTCGCACGAGGCCGAGGGAGACCGCGTCCTCAGCAAGAAGAAACTTGACGAGCTCGTCCGCCAGGTCTGTGGCGGGACAGCCGAGGGCCAGGAGGGCAATCTTCTCAGTCCCGAGGTGGAGGAGGTGAGTACATGGATGCGCCGTGGCGTCGAGGAAAGAGCGTGGCTAACACTAAAACCCAGAACGTCTTGACCCTAGCAGACAGCTTTGTGGATAACGTCTTGCACGCCGCCTGCCGCAATGCCAAGGAACGCGGCTCCAAGGTGCTCGAGATCCGCGACATCCAACTTGTCCTTGAGCGCAAGTACAACATTCGGGTTCCTGGCTACTCTTCCGACGACCTGCGCACTGTTCGCAAGGTGCAGCCGGCGCCCGCCTGGATTACCAAGATGAGTGCGATCCAGGCTGCCAAGGTTACTTCGGGCAAGGGCGAGTAGGAGCCGCTCCCACCACGCAAGCAGCAGAGGCGCAATTCGAAGGCGACGAAGCCCATGCCGAAGACGACAGCGACGTAGCGGCGCTTCACGAACCCTGTTCCCGGCTCGCAGGGAAGCCGCTTCACATTCTAGGGCGGCACTTGACAGCTCGCAGGGAAGCCGCCTCACATTCTAGGACGGTACTTGGACCGCTCACGACAAAGGGATCACATGGCCGATTGGTGTGTGTGAACGGAAGGAGCTGAACCACTTGCTGCGTTTTCTTTTATTTCTGGTCAACCTCCTCATCGCTACGAGGTACAGTATGGCCAAGGCGTTCGGGAAAGGTATGGCGTTGAGCGGAGGAGACATGGGAACTCGGGCATGATTTCGTAGGGAGGGGTCAGACATGAGCTCTCAGAGCCTGGGCTTTTGGTACCCTCGCAAATAGCTGTAATGCAGTGTTGAGTTTCCGCATGGAACACACATGCTTTCCTGCCGTCACAATGTGACGGGGATGGTACATTGAGGGATTATCACGTGAAATTCGGTTACGACAGTGGTGCGAACGTGCCACGATAGAAAGTAGCGTCCATGTGAGGGGTTGACGATGATATGGCGAGGGAGGGGAAGAACGGGAACGGGACCTGCAGACGGATGGATCGCGCCCGTTGCCTGTCCGCGTTGGCGCCGAGGGAGGGGGTAGGCAAGGTAGGGTAGGGGCCTAGGGGTATGCGCAATGGCGCAATGTGCGCTGGAGGTGCAGGAAGAACAGGGGGGGCGATCCGCTACGCCGCGTCCTGGAAGTCGACAGATGAGTCAAGCAATGGCAGCGAATTCAGTGGCAGTTTTTGTGCGTTTCCCATGATTCTGGTTTGCTTGGAAGATATCAGGAGATCTGGAGCCTCAAGAAGAGCAGCATGTGTGGAAGGTGTGTATATCATGAGGAACAGCCTTGGCAACCTGATGCATACCCCTCAAGTACCTACCTAGGTAGGTAGGTACGCATGATAGGTAGGTAGCCGGGCAGGTGCTACGTCAAAACGAGGCTCGCAGACGGGCGTCCGTGAGAGAGAACGTTCGAGCACTCCAGAATCCACCTTCCAGCCTCCTCCCTCTTGCAGATCGCTGGATGGGAGGTCATCTCCATCCTCGTTCATTGGGCATACATGCTGCGGCCTTGCAACGCACCGCGCCTATTTTTGCGTCTTTATCCTGAGACTTGGGCTGGCCCCCAATGTCCTCTTTTCGCGCAGCATACACACACGGCCCTGTGCTTGTGGTTCGTCGAGACTCGGGCCTTCACGTTGCCGTCGCGTGGCATTCTGCCTTACCAGTCCTGCCGTGTTGTTCATACAGGCGCAGTAGCAGGAGAGGCCGTGAGGACGATCGTCGGCCAGTACTCTCTGTCAGCGGTGTACGGCTTCGAGTAGGCGGACTATGAGGGTGTGTGAGGTCAATTGACAGCACATTTCATCCCTCCGAGGCAATTCCAAGCACGCAGCTCGCCGCTTGCTCAAGAGACGACGCCCAATCCAAGATGATGGCCATTTACCCACGACACGTCCTCCACGGAATCCCAATGACGATAAGGATGACGATGACTGAAATACACGCATTTGCGCGGTGCGAAGTCGCGCGGGAATTTGCTTGGCTATCTACCGCTCGCCGTGAGTAATTGATACCTCGAGGGGAGGTGGGCAGCCCACCCACGAACGCTTTACATGCAACGTCCAAAGGAGGCTGCGCATCCGCATTCGCACAGATGCAGGTGGGAGAGGCGGCACCAGCCCGCTCGCTCGCATCTTCTGAGCAACTGAGTAGTTGCGCATTTGCGTTGAAATGACCACAGGCCGATCTGGTCTGGCCGGGATTTTGACCACGAAGATGGAATTTACCAGGGCATTCTACCTTCCAGGGTAGTGGTGGTGGTGTGCGCAAGTCAAGGCAAGGGAAAGGAGCATTGCTGCCCAAAGGCAAAAGGCTTGTTGCTGATGGGCTGACGTCCAGCGAAACAGGACTCGGAGACTGACCGTAGACGCCCACATCGCATCCATTCACGCCTGTGACGGCCACTCGATTCGCTTGCCATCGTTACCCTATGCCGCTGCTCTGTTGGCTCTTGCTGAGCGCTGCTGTTGCCGCTGCCCGTTGTCGCAGTCGCAGTCGCTGGCGCTGTGCTGGCGATGACTCTTTTTCTTGTCGTTGTCCGCTCGACTTTTTTTTCTCTTCCTTTTCTCCTTCTTTTTCTTTGTCGTTGAGCTCTGTCTCGTACCCCCCCCTCCCGCATTAAAGGTCATATTCACAACGCGCAGTCCCTACTCAACCCCCCTTTAATTCCGGCATAAAGGAGAACCTCCCGGCAGGATATATTCGCCTGGCCCCAACTCATCAGGACGGCGACCCCGGATCCTGTGCCTCTTTCAACCCATCCCTGGTCAAAGCCGACGCTACGTCAGCGAGCAGTTCATAAGTGACCTGGGCACATACAAGTTGTGGTGAAACATCATCACCATCGTGGTCCTTTAGGCCATCTCCGTCTTCAGGCTTGAAACGCCAGCACAGAAGTACGGCCCCCATTTCTGTCTGGAACCACCTACCCACGCCGAACCCACGAAACCTTGCAGCAACACGCAGCAACTCGCAGCAAGCGACAAGCAATAGCTTGATTGTTCCACAGCCTCAGAAAATTCCACTCGTGGCTTCAAAATTAACTGCATCTCGCTTTTCCTCCTTCTGATTTTCCATTGGGCTTGACGAGACGGTCAAACTTCCCCCTCATCATTTTCCTGCCTCGTTTGCTCTCCTCTCCGCCATTCACCACCTTTGGGTCGCTTGCAGCAACTCATTTCATCCCTACCCTTTTTTAAACACCACCACTCTTACCCGCGGTGGAGTCTTGCCTGCTGCACATCCGGACCAGGCCGTTCCTTGTTGGCAGCATTGCTTGCTCGCGCCCCCTCCCCAATTCCTAGGGACCAAACCACCAGTAAGGTCGTCATCTGCACAAGTGTTATTTCTGCGGCCGGCTCCCACTCCCTTGTTCCCGAACTCAGAGAAGATACAAGAGGGATCGACCACCTCTCCCCTTCTTCGCCTTTTTCTCTCGTCGAACAACGACACCTTCGACGACGAGGTCGAGGTTCTCTTTCTCTCTTGCGCACACCTCAGTAAGAAAGAAAGACGAACATCTTCTCCTGACCCCGCGCCCAGGACGAACATTCCCTGCCTTCACCTCAGAGCTTATCATGACAACCAACAGCCGCTACCGAATATTCTCTTCTCCCTGCCGGAGGTTTCTACTCTGGGTGCTGACGCCTTGAACGGGCGTTACCCCTCCGCATTAGCTCAGCTTCGTCTCAGCTCAGCCAGCCGACGCTACGAACACGCAAGACACAGAAACAGCACAGCATTGCGCATCAGCAGCGCACCAAATCCTTCCCGGACGTTTATCGCGCTGGTGGGACCCGGGACTGCCAGGTTGCGAGGACAGTGGACTGAACTGGTCTACCACCCGTAACCTTTAACAACCCCCCCGCCAACAAAATCATTACCCCACATCACCGAGAATAACCACCCGCGCCCGCCTTTTCCGCCTGGGTCGCCTCCCCCGCCCAAAAATTATCGAGGCGCCACCGATAAGATCGCCGGCGTCCGAAGATCACGATTCCCGTCGGGGACGACTTGTCAGATACCACCCCGACACCGACTTGCACATACGTTTTTCACTGGGCACATTTTCCCCCTCCACAGAACAAAAACCAATTGCCGAGCCCCTGGCGCAACAAGGCTCTTCTCAAGCAGGCATCTTCCCCCACCTTGTCTAGCGCTAGAAACATGCGGCCCACGACGCCAAACCTCAAGATCGCCAACGGGGCAGCGGGCAGTGGGGGCATGGATCCCGCCTCACCGCCTCAGACCCCAACCTCTGTCTCGCCAGTCCTCTTCCATCACCACCTCAACCACCACAAGGTCGCCTCTCGGCTGCCGCCCAACATCCACCCTATAGGTAACAGCCACCAATTCAGCTATGTGCGGACCGCCAACCGCTTCGCACAGCTGTCTCCTCAGAGCAGCTCTGAGGAAGAGAATGACGAGGAAGAGGACGATGACGAAGAAGATAATGATTCCGACATGGAGTCTACCGAAACCGACCTGCCTCGATCGTCGAGTGAGGAGGAGGAGGATGACGAAGACGAAGTCGATGATGACGACGTCGAGGAGGAGGAAGAAGATGATGTTGATGATGACCACAACATCAATGCTCCACTACCTGCCGCACGCAAAGTGCTAAACGTCCCAAACAAGGTGGACGATGACGATGATGATGACGACGACGATGATGACAGTGAAGAGGACGAGGAAGATGAGGACGACTCTGACTCGGACGAAGACATGCACGAGCCCCAGTCCGTCCCTCATATTACGCTCGCCCCAGAGCCGCCAACAGACCGCACAACGCCGGTTGTTGCCAACTTTACCGTTGAGGAGCTCTCCGATTTTGACCCCATGGATGACAATCGTGTCGGCGTCATTCCTCCAACAAGCTTCGAGTACCCCGAATCAGACCGCTCGCGGTCCCGCTCTCGCGGCGCTGGCAGCTCGACAAGCGATGTCTCAGCCCCCAAGAACCACACCCATCTCCCGCACCGACCCCGCCCATACCCAGACCTAGACATCAACATGATGCAGCACCTCCAAAACCTCAACTGCAGCGGCTCGGACGACGGTGAGGAAGAGGATGATCTCTTCGACGCCTCTGACGATGCGGCACACAAAGAATTTGTCCTCGCGCAGCGTGCTCTCAAGATGCGCAAGCGCCGCTCCCACGGCAGCTCCATCGGCAAGCGCACGCACTCGGAGCGCAGCGATAGCGATGGAAAAGAAGACTTGCCCGACACGCCGTGGGATGCTGTCGGCGCGAGTGCGCGCAGGCTGAGGCGCCGCGTGGGCGACCGGCGAAGCCTGCAGTTTCAGGACCCGCCGCCCGAGAGGATCGAGGAGCTCGAGGAGCCCGACAGCTGCGAGGAGGGACGAGGCCGTCTGATGAGGGGCTTCGGCATGCTGTTTGGGGACGGAGAGACGCTGGCGCGCGAGCTGCCATATTATGCGATGGAGATTATGGAGATGGACGAGGATGAGTAGTGCACGGGGTTTTTTCTTCCATGATTGCACACGCACAAAAAAGGGGGGCTACGGCTGAAGGAACGATTTCAATGTTGATGATGATTGGGAGCCGGATAGACTGGTGTTTTTGTCTTTTTTTTTCTCCCCCGATTTTCACTTCTAGTATGACATCTTCTCGATCCCCCATTTTGATACCTCATCGATAGACTTCTGGCGGATTACAGCATTGAGGGGCATAAGCGATGGTTTGGATATCGGAGCACGGTTTCTTTTTATTTCTCACATCTTCCCCGTTCCCATCTTTTGGATGATCTTTCTGCGAGTATTTTGGGGGCGATAGATGTGCTGCAGTAGAAGGGCTTCAGTGCTCTAATGATATTGTGGATTTGGTTGACCTGTTGCCTGGTGTAACACGCGGAGTCTCTACCGTGACATGAAGCCGTGGATCTGCTCCAGATCTGCAGGCGAAGGCTCCAGGGAAAGTCAGCGAAGAGTCCAAGACCAGGTCGAGGTACCTAGTGTTGGTGATCCCCCTTTGTATCTGATAGTGAAAGGGAAGCTACCGATTACATAATACAGAAGCTGCCCCTCCCACCGCAACTGTACAACTGCTGTTGGTGGGGTCCCAAGTCGTTCGTTCGCATGTCAACAAGACCAACCCAGGCGCATCATCTTGCAACAGCAGCAGCTTCGTTGTGGCACGACAGGGGCAGTTCGCCAGGAGAGCAACAAGAACATCTGTCTGAGCTGGTCATTCTATCTCCTGCTCTTTACGACTTGACGACAAACACTCCCACGATTCCCATGCCATCACCATGTCACACCTTCTCAGCATCCACCTCGAGCAGATAGCCCTCTCTTGCCAGGGCATCGAATCGCTCCCGTAAGTCTGCGCAGGCCCTCTCTCTGAATGACAGAGGTCCAAAACAGACGCTGACCGCCCGAACCAGCTTTCCACCGCCCAAAATCTTCACCAACGCCCTCCTCCACAACACCGACATCACCTCCCTCATTCGCGACACGGAACCTCACGAACGCGCCCTCTTCTCCGTGCCCCCGCCGCCGCCCTTAGCGACAGCCCAGCCCGACCCCGCCGCCGCCGCCGCGTCAACATCCCACCCCCAAGACCGCCGCAAGACCGTCTTCGCCGTCTCGTCGGGCGAGGTCACGACGGGCGGCGGACCGACGGGTCGCCCGGCGCGGCGCAACACGGCCGTTGCGGCCGTGCTGGGCGGAGACCTCCACGCGCAGCTGGCGCGGCGCCGGGCGGGCGACGACGTCGACGTCGAGGTCCTGCTGCGGGGCGCCGAGAAGCTGTGCGGCGTGTACGCGCTGCCCGGGGCGGAGGCGCGGATCGCGGCGCTGCGGGGGCGGTGGGGTCGGAACGCCAACACGGCTGCGTACTACGAGGCCCGGGTCGCCGAGCAGACGGCGAGTATGGAGCGCACCAAGGGCCAGTGGGGTTACGAGGACGAGGAGGACGAGGAGCAGGACGAGGAGGAGGATGGCGGCGCGCATGACGGGCATGTCATGACGGAGGAGGATCTGCGGGCGGAGGAGGAGGAGGTGCGGGAGCTCGAGCGGAAGAAGAGGGAGCTCCAGGCGCGGCTGAGGGCCATGGACAAGGATCTCGGAGGGCTGCTTCACATGTGAGGCACGTACGAACAAGAAGTCACCGACTTGCTGTGGTTGATGAGAAGCAAAACGCTCGCGAGATTTTAGTATGTAATGAAACTACAATGATACCCCGTTTACCGACCGAAAGACACTCCACGAGAAAGGGACGACCGAAGAGAAAAAGGCCAAGCGAGGCCTGTGACGCGCTACGCCCTCTTCTCCTTCATGTTGGCAAACGCCTCGACGAACGCCTCGACGTCCTGCGCGCCGCCGAGCTGCTGCCCGTCGACGACAAAGTGCGGCACGCCGCTGACGCCGAGGGCATACGCCTCCTGGACCTCGCGGTCGACCTGGGCGCCGCCCTGGTCGCTCTCGAGCCAGGCCCTGACCTCGCCGGCCTCGAGCCCGCCCTTGACGGCCGCCTGCACGAGCATGTCCTTGCTCGTAATGTCGCCGTCCTCCTCGAAGTAGCTGCGCATGATCTCGGCGACGACGCGGTTCTGCGTCTCGGGGCCCTTGGCCTGGGCCAGCGCGACGACGCGGTGCGAGTCGCGCGTGTTGCCGACGCGGCTGTCGAAGGAAAAGTGGATGCCCTCGCCGGCGCCGATCTGGGCGAGGCGCGCCGACATGGCGTCGAAGCGGCCGGGGCCGAAGCGCTGGGCCATGCGCTCGCGCAGCGGCACGCCCTGCTTGGGCGACGTCGGGTCCAGGTAGAAGGGGGACCAGGTGACGGTGAAGGTGTCGTCCTTGCCGGCGGGGACCGTCTTCTGGTAGAGGGCGATGGCCTTGTCGAGGCGGCGCTTGCCGACGTAGCACTGAAGGGCCTGTTAGCTGGGGCTGCAGGGTGACTGGAGGCCAGGTTGGGGGAAGGCTGAAGGGAAGGCTGAAGGGAAGGCTGAAGGGAAGGCTGGAGGGAAGGCTGGAGGCAAGGCTGGCGTGGCGAGGTGCTTACCCAGGGGCAGACGTTGTCCGAGATGATCTTAATGTTAAAATTGGTCATGGTCGATGATGTAGGGGGTTGTCTCTGCGAATGCCGTAGCGTATCAATTCGGTTGATCTTCAATAGGACTCTCGAGTGAAGCACAGGACGAGACGAATGTGGATGGAGGCTGGCAACAGGAGATGTTCCTGCGCTGGGCCGGCCATTCTTTAACGTCGGCGGCCGTGGCGGACATTTGTCAGCACGTCGGCGTCTTTTGTTCGGCCTTGCCCGGTGGAGTTCGCTGTAGTGCGGTGGAACAACGCGGCCGGTGCCTCGGTCGGGGAGGCCGAACCGTTGTCCGTCAGCAGGCGGCACCAAATCGAACTGGGGGTGGGGTCGTCGACTGGTGTCGGAGTAGCGACTTGGTCGGAAGTAAAATGACGCCGATGGGATACTTGGTTTGTCAATACAGGACCACGTCTTGCAAGATGGCGTGCTGTATCAATTTTTTTCTGGTCTTTTTTTTTTGGGATGCCTGCAAGCTGAAATCGACAGGAAGAAATGAGAACTGGGTCTCGGTGACAAATTTCATCGTAAATCATTATACATATTCATGGGTATCTCAACAGAAAAGCGGGCAGATGTCTACTCTTGCGCAAACCTCGACCGCGACGTGCCTGGCCTGTCTCCAAAACTGTCGCCCCTCCGCCACGTCGAGGGATACGTGACCTGCTCAGACCCCGGTCGCCATGTGCCCTCGACAGAAGGGCTGCGACTCCGCGACCGCCCCCGCTTGGCTCGCAGCTCGGGATACTGCACGGCATTGTCCCAGTTCTCGAGCGCCATGTACGGGCTGCGCAGCCACGCGCGCAGCTCGTGCAACAGCAGCCTTGTGTTCTCCCGCCCGAGAAACTCCTGAACGAGCTCCTCGGCCTGGCCCATGCTGCCCTGTATGTCGACCGTCTTGAGAATGGCGACGATGTACTCGAGCAGGAACTCGGCGTTGTTGGCCCTGCGCCGCCGCACAGGGTCGCTCTCGGCGGCGGCGGGATCCGCAGCAGCCGCCGCCGTCGAGGTGTCGCTCGTGGGCGCCAGAAACTGAAAGACCTGCAGCTCGCGGCGCAGAAACATGCGCGCGCGCGACACGAGCTCCGCGTCCGTGGCGAACATGTGAGGCGTCAGTTCGCGGTAGCGCGACACGCGGTTCGAGCCGACACGCAGCGAGTAGGGCTGGTTGCGGTAGACGAAGCGGCGGTGCCGCAGGGGGTCGTCGTCCTGGGCCGAGCCCCTCGCGCGACGAGTGCGGTAGAGCGAAGGGCGCGGGCGGCGGAGGCCGAGGGGATCGAAGCGGCGGCGTTCGGCAAAGTGGCCTGGCGATGTATGGGGACCAGGACCGCTGCGGGTCCTATCATGGGATCTGTGATACTGCTGCTGCTGCTGCTGCTGCTGCTGCGATGGTGGTGGTGGTGCTTGTTTTGACGGGACGTGGTAGGTCTTCCATTGCGCTCGGTCTGACGAAAAGTCGTAGCGAATCTCGGTGATCTCGGCCTTGCAGAGGGGACATGTCGAGCATGCCGGCTGCTGTTCGAGCCAGGTGGTGAGGCACAGGAAATCAAAGTCGGCGTGGTGGCAAGGGAGTGCTTCGCACCCTTCAGAGAGCTCAGAGAGACAGATGACGCAACAGTCCTCGGTCGAGGCGAACGTCTTGAGCGTTGTTTGCAGGACGGCGGAGTGAATGTCTTGGAGGGAGGGCCTGGTATCGGTGTCAGGCGGTATTGCTGACATGCCGCTGCCTGCAGTGTTTTTGGGTCGATGTGTTTGCCAATATCATGGGTGTGGCGAGAGGTAGTTGGGAGAGGAGGAGATATAGGATCGGTAGGCTGCGGTGCGGCTCCCCTAGGTCCCCTAAGTCACCTACCTAACTACCTACCTAGGTACCTTAGGTAAGGTACCTAGGTAGCCTAGGCTTAGTGGAGTGATGGTTTCTAGGGGGTAATGTGCCATGATTTGCCACCACCACATGTCCAGCATCCAAACCAACCCTCAGCCTCAGGGTCAGGTACAAGAACCCGTGATGAACACTGCAACGTGCTTCCCCAGGGGATCTCGGGTGTTCGAGCACGATGGGAGCATCGACGACTCTCGAGGATACGGGGGCGCCTGGCTTGGATCCTTGGATCTAGGTGTGTACACAATGTCAGGATCATACAAACTATCTCAGGATTCCTGCTCTCTCTTCACTGCTTGTTTCCTCGACCTCAGTGCTGCTACTGGGTGGTTACTTTAAAGCTTGAAAGTTCATGCGATGTATTGCACTGCGGCTAAGGTTTGGATGAAGCTTTCTCTCCAGTCGCTCCGTGTTCGCCCTACAGCTATGAGGCGACCTGTCGAGCTCTTTCTATGTGTAGTGCGACCGGGCTTGCGTTTGTTCAGCTGTCAGAAGCAATCTATCCTCATACGCCTCGGGGTTATGTCGTCGGGAAGACTCACATCCCAAATAACGGTACCTTATCGAGTGGAGGCTGCCCTCTGGTGGTGTGTCGCCCAAAAAGCGGAGATTCCGACTCAACAGCGTGGTACGTGCGGCGGGGCCCGGACCAACGCGAGAATGACGGGAACGCGAACCCAATGGCGACGCGTTTAGTGCATGTCCCTGGTACTTTCCCACTCAGACGAGGGATACACTCAGACAGGGAAAGGGAAGGCACATGATATCACCACCTGCTGCGACCTCAACTTACCTTGATCCTGACGTTTGAGCATACCACTTCTTCTACCGACAACCTGGCGTACCCTCGAACTTCCCACAACCGTCGTCACGTCTGCCCACTCGAATCAAACTTCGATGGAGGAGCACGACAGGGCTAAGTACGAGGCCCAGTCGCGAGAGTTGCGCGCCGACCTCAAGACCTGGGAGACCACTTGGGCAAAGACCCACGATGGCAAGAAACCCGGACGGGACGACATAAAACAGAATGCCGAGATTGGTACATACATCCTCTCTCATTTGTGGATCTCCGAACGACCCTGCTAACGAGGCAGCCCTGAAATACAAGCAGTACAACAAGACCCGTGACATACTGTCTGGGAAGATTCCACCACCCTCAGAACGCCCAAAGTCAGAGAAGCGACAATCAAATGACGTGCCGGTACAGACGCCTTCAAAACGTCAAAAACACCTTGCAACCCCCTCCAAATCACGAAACGCCTCGCTCGATGCCACGCCCTCAAAATCACTGCCACCTCTCTACAACGACGCCAACACAACCACCCCCTCGATTGCCCGCCACTTGTTCAGTCCCGTAGCACCACGGTCGATTGGGCCCACGCCGCAGCGAGATGGCCGCGTCATGGGGCTGTTTGATCTGATGTCGGAGCGGGAGCTGGGAACGCCCTCAAGAGCGAATGGGGCATCGCAGACAGTCAATGCTCCTCTGTCGTTCTTCGCCACTCCGAGAAAGCGCAGCGCAGCCAACTTGGAGGCCGCCACCACTCCAAATTCTTCCGGAAAAAAGCGAAAAACGGATGGCTTCGTCACGCCCTTGAAACTCAAGAATATGAACGCCAACGGCGACAAGACACCGTCCTCGTCAACGTCGGTCTCCAAGCTCCAGTTCAGCACTCCTGCCTTCCTCAAGAGGCACAGCCTCGCACCTGTCGACGAGAACGGCGAGTTTCCCGCCGCTGCACCCCTGCGGCTGCCCCGCAAACCACTGGGCCGCGGCCTCAGCGCCATCGTGGCCAGCCTGCGCAAGGTCGAGGAAGAGGCACACGACGACGATATGGACGCGCTGCGTGAGATGGAGCAAGGCGAGACGGGGCTGGTGGCGGCGCCGGCGCCGATGCAGATGAAGCCTCCGCCAAAGCCACAAGACGACGTCCTGGTGGCCGACAGTCAGGTCATGAACCTGCCGCTGGGCGGCTTCGACGACGAGGGCATGTATGACAGCGAGCCCGAGGAACAGCTGGGACGTGACGGGCAGCCATTGAAGGTATACAAGAAGAAGGGACAGAAGAGGACGACAAGAAGGTCGAACATGAAGCCGGTGCATCACAAGAGGCCAACGGCACCAGTCGATGGCGCGCCCGCGGAGGACGACGACGTGGTTTCTGAGACGCAGATGAACCCCAACAAGGAAAACGAATACGCATCAGGCGACGAGGCAGATTTTGTGCCGTCAGACGTCGAGGGGTCTGACGCAGAGGCTGCCAAGGCGAAGAGCTCGAAGAAGACCGTCAAGAAGACGAACGTGAAGGAAGGAGCTGTCAAGAAGACGGCCAGGAAAGTTAACGAGTTTGCGCACACCAATTTCCGGCGCCTGAAGCTCAGAAACACGGGCTCCAAGGGCGGCGCTGGTTTCAACAGCAAATTCCGGCGCAGGCGATGAGGATAGGACAATGCATTTGGTGGTTGACTTGAAGGTATCGGTATGTTGGGTGCTATTGGGCGTTTTCCCCCCTTCGACGTGTTGCTACCTTAGCACAGGAACGGGACGGGCACACTGGACGGGACGAGTCATGACAGCATTGCATGCCTGGGAAGGCTTGGGATAATTACATGTTGCAACTTTTTGGTTCCAAACTCCTCTTCCGCGCTGTGGCTAACCAAGGTCGCTCTGTCTTGAGCAGACTCGAACAAAAGCTTGTACGAAAAGACTTGAATGCACACTGCATTGTGCTGATAACACGTCGCGACGGTCGATACCTGAAAGGTGAAGGAACGCTTTATTCTCTATCGAACACACCCACGATCATCGCCTAGAAGGCCTTTGTGTTGAGTCCCTGCAACGCCTGCAGCAATAACGGCAGCTTCCTGATCGTGTCCCAGTCATACGCCGGCGGTGCTTCGATCGTCTTACGACCGGCTCCCGGCACCGTGCCCAAGTTGAGCTCGTCAACACCAGCCTCATCCCAGGCTTTTGCGTTGAGCCGCTGCCACATGTTCTTCCGCCTCTCGTGCCCGTCGAGGAAGGACTTGAACCACGCTCGGTCAAAGACGGGCAGCTGCCGGCCGAGGCCGTTCTCGCCGGGCCCCGCGAGGCGGCGCAGCTCGTTGAAATAGTCTTCAAAGTGCGGGT